TCTTAAGAAGATTGTCCTATATATAAAGATTTTAGTGATGTATTTCAAATTAGAAAGAGCAAGACAGAAACCTTTGATTATAATTACAGCTTTGGTAGCATATACCTGCAATTTATTTATTATCTTCCTCAGAAGGTGTCACTAACTTCTATTTGATATTTTTGACATATATTTTACATTGTTGAGCTCAAAAGTACTTTGATTTGAATCACTTTTCATGTAATTTTTTTTAAAAAGAAACACATTCTATTAAAAAGAAAATAACTGTACAAAGTGTGGGAATGGAACAGAGTCCACCTGAAAATATCTGCTAAACCAAAACCAAAACAGTACAAATTAACGATGCGGAATATCTTGACTGAAATTAAAACACAACTTCCCTCCAATTTAAATAAATATCAGAGAAAGGTCCTTAAATTACTTTTCATGTAATTTGATCGATAGTTTACAAATCAAATATGCCTGGTGTTGGCTTATTCCCATGTATTGAAGTCAAAAGTTGGAGTTGTTAGGTGGGTGGACTCTGGTCAGGCCATTTACCTGATGTATTCTAAATCACGCTGATATTTGCATTTTTGAGTCTGGATCAGCTTGCCCAACCTGACAACAGAGAAAAATTTATTGGAACGAAAAAAATGGGTTAGGACCAGGCTAGGTTAAGGGTTCGATTCCATTCATTGTAACGAAAAAAACTAAATTGTAATTGGGATTCTAATATCTAAGAACTTATGGTTCCTAGTTTATTTAATGATCTCGCTCCCTAAGTTAAGTGTTTTAGTAGGATTCTATTTAAATCCTTTAGTTTATCAATTATGATTAGTGTTTTACTCTATTTAACTCCTTTTAGGTTATCAGTTATGAACTTATGATTAATGCATCTTATTCTTTTCCTATTTTATCAACACAAATATAACTGAGGCTGCCTTTTCTGGTGCTTCTACCTTTTTTGTTGTCAAATATGGCCATATACATTTGTTAAAGGAAGTCAGGAGAATGTATATTCATACCATCTGACAAGCCACGATGAGTGTTGTTCATTCTTCACCTTTCCCCATCCTCTCTCTTTGCTTCTTGTAAGTATCTCTTTTGATATATTCAAAATATGCAGGAAAAATATAAAGTGTTCCATGCCCGTTTACCACAAGTTGTTGCTGAAACTCTTCTTCGTACGGATCCTCAAATCGAATTGCCTCTTTGGCTGGTAAAGATGTTCAAGGTAACTCTCTAGGTGGTTCTGAAAATAAAAGAGGAAGCACGTTTTACAAACTTTATTTTCTTCTTTCATTGAACAATCATCTCTCTCTCTCTCTCTCTCTCTCTCCCCTGCCCTTCCCTCCCTCTCTTTCTGCATTTCTGCATCTTCTATCCTATTTAGTTTATCCTTCTTCGTTAACTATGCTTTCTTGTATTCTATGTTACTATGCTTTCTTGTATTCTATGTTATTAAGTTTATCCTTTTCAGTAACTATATTTTCTTAAATCCTAGATTATTTATTTTATCCTTCATTATTAATTATGATTTCTTATATCCCGTTTAATTTGATGGGTAACTTCAAACAATCCATTCTTGTGACATGATAGTCTTGTGACCCACTTGACTGTTGACAGGATGGTAGGCGGGAAAGAACTTGGGCCATGACTGGCCAAGAATCAAATCCAGCGTTATTGTTCCAACTATATGTTGATTATGGTCGATATAGAGAAGCTACAAATCTTTTGCTCGAGTATGTAGGATCGTTTGCATCAATGGTAAAGTGCAGCTTATTCTTTTCTATCTTAAGTTTCTGTATTACAGCTTGGTTGAAAAAAAAATTCCATGATATCAACCTCGCATTTTTAAAAGTTAATGCTATTGCTTCATACAGAAAAGCAGCCGCCATAAAGGGGATAGAGAGAGAATTTATGCTCTTAAGTTTCATTCTAGACAGTTCATTGGCTGTATGGCGAAGTTTGTTTGGCTATAATATACCATTGGATTGTTTAGAGACTACTACAGAAGAAAACAAATGGATTTATTATTTTATTTTTGTCGAAAAAAACAAATGGATTTCAAATGACTTCATGCATAATCATTTTGTGAGAAGTCATTTCAAATCCATTCCAAATGTACTACATCTAGTTGAAATATATCCAATTTAATGTTTTATAGTATCTCTTAGAAAATTTAACTTTGATGTCAAATCCAAATCTTCTCTTTGAAATACCTCCATCCAAACGGAGCCTAATAGTTCTTCTATCATATTATTTTGTATAACAATCCTCAATAAAAATGCGAATGCCACTCAAGAATGATACCTGAGTTTTTTTGCAAAGAGGAGGTCCATTAAATAGTCTGGATGCTGATACTGATAGATGAGAATAGGACAAACAAAACTGAGACAATAATAGTGTATGTTGGTTTCATGTCGTTAGTATCGCAGATACATCACGCAAAAATAGTTTATGTTGATATCATCTCATTAGTGTTACAGAGAGACCATCTGATTTCATGTTGATTTCTGCTGGTTGTTTTAACTTAAGATGTTCTCTTCTACAGAGACCAGCTGACATAATCAATCGTAAAAGACCTTTTGCGGTTTGGTTTCCATACACAGCAGTTCAGCGTCTGTTGTGCCAACTTGAGGAAATGATCAGTTTGGGCCACATGGTAGATCAATGTAACAAGCTGAAAAACTTATTACATGGAGCTTTGCTGAGCCATTTTGAACTTGTAAGTCATATTTTCAATCTACAGCTACTAATGGTTTAACCTTGTTGCTATGTATGAAGTTCCCAACTCCAATCCTGTCTGTTGTTTTCAGGTAAAGATGGACTCAGAAGATGTACTCTCTGCTTTTAGTTGAGAGATTTCATTTAGCTAACAAGATGGACACACTTTGGATGCAACCCTGAAGTTGAGCATAAGTTGCTTTGTAGATACGCCTGAGTTCTTTACCAGAAAATGCTAAGAAGGCAGTATTGGGAAGCTCCATGTAGCTCTCAAGCCAATTGGGAAGCTGGGGAGAGTTGCTGTGTGTTGGTGACATCTTCTGCCCCTCCTCTCTCCCTTAATGTATATATGTAATACACAACGGAACTTTGAAAGCTGATGTTACTTTCATACATGAAGTGATTATAAATTCAGTTTAATATTTGTATCAGAACCTTTTCTTTTGTATGTAAATTGAAGGGTTCATATTTTAGGATACAAATATCAATTTGGCTATGCTGATGTCTGTGATAAGTTCATATTTTAGGATACAAATATCAGTAAAGAATGTACGTGTTATACCCCATGTGATTTGACGTTGAAAAATCACTCAGTATTATAAATTATAATCAGTTCATTCCACCAGCATGCAACAAACTAACTACCACGCGAATGCAGCATGCGTGAACAGCTTTCAATTGTCTCTCTAAATTAAAGGAGACTGATGATCAGAAAATAATGTGGATAAAGCTCCTGGAGAATTTGACAGCAAGTCTCTTGCTTTAGGTTTAGGCCCAATAGTGGAGCCAGGAATAGTAGAAAACCCGAAGTCCATAAACAAATATAGAAATTCAACGGAAAAACCCAAAGTCCATTTTAAAAACACCTATAAATTACAACATTGCCACTGACTGAAGCCCAGACCAAATTTCAATTATAAAAAAACCCAAACTCAACGCATATCTTCTCTCTCCCCCACAAAATCAGTCAATGTTGTAAAACCTCCAAAAACTACCAGCTCCACAAAAGTTGAAGAGGCCCCTCTAAAAGCAGCAACATCTCAAACACAACACTTCCTTTGTGACACATAAAAAATCTCAAAATTCATTCTTTATTTTATTACCGTAGCAATATATATTATTTATATAATATTCAATGCCCAAATCGAGTTTGAAGCCCAATTGGCTTCCACTTTGCCCAACTTCCATTTACCAAATGTGGGACTTCCACACTTTAAAGACCTTACTCTTTCTTCTTTCTACCAATGTGGGACAAATGTTCTTGAATTTTATTCAAACTTCCAACAATACTCGACATTTGAATCGAAATTCTAGACCCCACATTTAAAATGTTATACTTAAGTGCTAAATGAATGTAATGCATTTGAGAAGAAGCAAATGTTATATGCATCAAGAAAAGTGTCCTTTGGACTTGAACTTACCATAATGAAAACATATCGGATTTACTTGGTGACGCAATGGATATAATTGATCTTGAACTGTTCACTGCTATTGATAGGACCCGACCCAAATTTCACTTTGGAATCTGAGCTGAACCCTGTGCGTGGCCGACACTTGGCGGGTGCCGGGCACACTTGACTAAATTGCCCTTCTAACGAAATCGAAGTTAAACTCAAGTTTGACTTCTACCAAAAATACGGCAGAGTCTCCTCTGTAAATAGTCGTTTCCCAAAATTTTTCCACTTGTACAAAATACAATTATAATCCCAACCATTCAGCATGCATCAAGTTTACATTCAAGCAATCCAACAACAGAACTATATGATCTCAGATCCTACAAAAATCCTAGGGTAATTTCAGAGCAATACTAATCAGTTTAATTTATAGGAATAGTTCGATTACAAAAGAAATCCTACATAGTGGAAAGGATGAGTGAAGAGTGGTGACTGCCCTGTGGTGGCGCTCTGGTACACGACTACTGCCTAGAGGCGCAAAACATTTAAAAGTGTGAGTGGACAAAAATAAAGTTTTGTAAAATAGAATCTTAACATACTAACCCCACTGTTAAAACATTTAGAAAATTCCATTATCACAATGTGCTATATTCGTAATAAAATTCAAGCATGCATATCTACATACATATAACTGATCAAGCATTCAAACAAATCATCAAAAACATTTGAAAGCATTGTAAAATATTAATTCATTTCCACCTAGGTGTACCCATCATAAATCCATCAATTCCATAATCTTTATATTCATTTCCCGCATTATACCATCAATTTCTTGTGTCACATAATGCGACACATCCTCGCAAGTCTTAGAAACACAAAGTCACCCGAGCCACATTCCTAGCAAGACTCAGGGGACACTTGGTCCACTTGGGCCTCATTCCTCACAAGACTCAGAGGACAATTGGTCCACCCGAGCCGCATTCCTCTCACCGAACAGTTCGGGCGTCCCCGAAACTCGTGGGGCAATGTCAAATGCGCCCTAACTCAACCGAAGGCAACATCTTGCGTACCTATAGTGCTTTTAAAAACCATTCCTGAAAATTATGACACTGTTCCTCATTAAATCCTTAAATCCTATTATCATTATTTTCTTTTCTACTTTTCCAAGCCATTCACATTTTAAACATAAACATAATATAATAAAAGTATTTGAATTCAAATTTTTATGCTTGGAAAGTAAAAGTCATAATAATTCATTCGTGATCATTTAATAAAACTTTAATTGCATAAAATCCATTTATAAAACAAAAGTTCACTCACCGAGTGTCCAAGCTAGCTTGACCCTTTGAGGGTCCCTCCTGCGGGTTCAATGACTCCTGAGTACCTATTTAAGAAATTAAGAACATTTAATTAATAAAAATAGCTCAACCACATATTAAATCAAAACCCTGACCCCTGGCCTCAAAACTGCTTGTACGTGACTTACAAAAGTTCCTAGGCCCATTTTCAACATTTCTGACAGGTGGAATGGTCTGAAAGACTCGATATTAAATAAGCGATTAAATTCTCATATTGGTCAACCCGGTACCCCGTGGGGTACATGACCTCTGATTACCAATCTGAGAGTTCCTATAGGTTCAACACACTTTACTAAACATGCTCTGCAAGTTTGGTCCGAATCGAACCGTCGGATTGCTTGTGATCGCACGATCAGACAGTTATCGTTTAACTTAATCTTTGAAATATTGAATTGGAGTATCCGGGACTCTGATTCTTGATCCGCGAATTTCTACATGATCCTAGAAGTGTCTAGATCAACATATTCGAAAATGAAGTCGATCCAACGGTCCGAACATATCGAACCCGGATAACGCCTATTATGCAATATCCGATCAACGATCAAACAGTAACCAAATTGGAATTCGAGCATATCGTCGTGCTCAGGAGGACATGGGAAACATTCTAGGACAAACACTCAACCTTGCAACCTCGCCGAGGCACCGCCACCGCTGGCGGGTGTGTAGAGCAATTTTCCGGCGATCGGAAAACTCCAAACTGCCAGCCAATAATAATACCTGCAGATTAAGCACATCAAGGAAAGTAACTTTATACCTTGGCTCGATGATCAATTCCACCTTTAAAGCCCTCGAACGAAGCTTTCTATCTCTTGAATACCTAGAAAATTTTAGTTTCAAAATCAAAAAAATGGGAATGGATTCACGTTGGGTTTTCAAGGGATAACACAAAGAGAAAGTAGGAGAGTATTTTGGGTGTAATTACCTGAGCTGTGGCGGCTGGAATTGGCCGGAAAAGACCACGAACAACCACTGTTTGAAGCTACCCAATTTGGGGGTGAGTTTGGCTTGAATTTTGGCTTAATTTTTCTTAGATTTGGGGCGGGAAATTGGTATGGATGTGTAGAGGGGAGAGAGACGAAGAGAATGGATCCAAAGTGGATTGTAACATCCCACATTGACCAACGGAGATAGGGTGATGTGTCTTATATGTACATGCCCTCCTTCATTTAGCACGAGACTTTTGGGAGCTCACTGGCTTTGGAGTCATGGGAACTCCGAAGTTAAGCGAGTTGAGGCTAGAGCAATCTCAAGATGAGTGACCCACTGGGAAGTTGCTCGTGAATTCCTAAAAACAAAACCGTGAGTTCATAGTCCATTTATTATATTATATTTATTTTTAGAAAAAAATAATTAATAACATTATTAAATTTATATCTATAAAAATATATATTTGTTGATAATGATATGGAATGAAAAACTACATCCATAAGAGTTTCAGGTATCACCAAAAACACATCATACAAGTAAGTGATTGTTGTCAATATGATTGTGAAACACAAACCGATTGATAAGAGCCACATAAATGAAGGATTCTTTAGATGGAATCTGCTAACAACCTGAAGGATAACAGTCAGACAAAGAAAGAAAGAGATGGAGTTATAATTTGTGTGATGCATTAATGACATTGTTTTAAGTGTAAAGAAAGTGATAATATGAAGGTTAGAGAATGTTGCTAGCATTCCTCAAACAGCTTATGTTCGTCCATAATATGAACGGGAATGTAGTGCGACATTCATACTTATGTTCATCCGTATTTACTAAAGGCTCCACCATGCACTTTCATCCATATTCATAAATGTAGTGCGACATTCATGATGATTTTTACTGCATCTACCAAATTGCTATGCAAAATTTGTTTATGGGGGCTTACACGTCTAACAACTAGTTCCTCCAATGGAGGGCTCTTCAACAAGTTTTCCTTTTAAAAACAAAACAAAGAAACAAAAAGAATGAAAAATAGGGGGAGGGGGAGGGTGGAAGCCGAATTACACTTCAAAGTACATATGGGGCAAATGCTTTGAGCATTTTGAGCAATACATTCAGAGATATAACCGCAAATAAATTAAATTCCATTTCTCAAACTATATGTGTTACAAAGAACAAACTCAAATGAGAGCCGCGTAATCCCATAATCCCAAAAGCTAATAGTCATAAAGAGAAAAGAAGACCCAAAGACACCAATGAAGGCAAAACTTGACACATCTAGGTATCCCATGTAAATAAGCCCTGACAGGAAATGAACCACCACCCCATGAGCCATCATCACTATATATGATAGGAAAAATAAAAAATAAGTTATTTGAAGTGTTAGATCATATAATAGTGGTGGCAACACCAATTTCCTGTGGAGAGACTTCGCTGAAATCTTTCATTTTTCAGCTTTTTGAGACATCCAGATGCACCTTGAACTCTTTCATATCATCATCCATCAGAAATGTTGGTTGTGTTTGTAATGTTAAAATTTAAAGGTATTGAGCTTGTATTCTCTCTCTGTTTTCTTCCCACCATGACTTTGCGTTCATCTCCCCGAACCTTTCGCGGCTGTGCAAATCAGAGAAATAAGGTCATGAGCTGCCTCTCGATTACCAAAACAAGAAATTGCTTATTGCCAATATTATGGTGCAACAGAGAGAATTCATGAAGATGGTAGTGGATCTATTAACAAATAACTAAAAGTGTCTGAAAAGAAGATCAAGAACTAGCTGTATGGAAGTAAATACAGAGCAGCTCATGGAATGGGTATATATGATGCAACAGAGAAGATGAATGAAAATGCTAGTGAATCTGTTACCTGAATCGGACACGGCGAAGTTCCCGAGTGCCATCAGCTAGCTGCCTTATGGTTATATATACCCCAGGCTCATCTTCCTCAACCCATTCTGACTCGACATCACTAGCATTGCTAATTGAGATTGAAGCTTCATCTCTAGAGGAGGTTGTTGTCCGTGAAGCATCGAAAGATGATGCCTCTCCCTTGTGCCCGCCCGCTCCATAAGCACTAGAACCACCAGCATTATAGTGGTGACCACCACCACCATGATCAAAAGAATCGGATGGGAAATAGCCTCTACTTCCAGCTCCAGAGGGTTTATACTGGTTCCTTGGTGTCCAATCCTTGTTTGATGGAGCCATAGGGCTTTCCATAGCAGATCCCATCCTTGAATAAGAAGAATCCCTCTGCTGCTGAGTACAACAGTCTGTTAATAACTACCATTTTCAAGTACACATACATCATAGACATTAATTCAATGGACCTCTTTTCTAGCATCCATCAAAGCACACTTCTAGAAACTTTATCACAGTGATGTTAACTATAAAATCAAATGAGGAGGTTTCCAAGAAGCCATTTAAATGGTTCCATGTACATTCGAGAGTCGAAATCAACTAATCATGCAAGTAGATAGACCACAAGGCCATTAAAGTCATTGGTGTTCATCATTTCATGCCTGAATGCCAAATTAAATTTAATTACCTCATCTTCAGACCTTGGAGGAGTGTGCAGAGCTTGCCGGTTGAATCTCTGAACATTGTAGAGCTCCATGATGCGGTCATAATTCTCACCCCACCATCGCTGAGCTTGCCATTTGTTAAACATCTCTCGGCTTCAAATTTGAAAGTCATGTTTGATCAGTTTGATGCACAGGGATAATCAAGTTACAAGTACTAGATTTTAAGACATTAGCAGAATCAAAGCCACATCACAAGTCCAGTTCTTGGATTTTGACAAGGGTACAATTACTTTGTACAGATACTAATTTCTTTTTCCTACAATAGTCATTGCCATACCTGAAACGAATTCGTTTGAGATCATTTCCCCCATTAGGAAGAGATACGAAAGTGATGTGTACGCCTGGTTCCACTTGTGCCATCCACTCCTTAGGCTCATCCTCATCCAAAACTACATCACAAGACTGAGCATAGGATGCACCTCCCGGGGTCCGATCACCACCACCATATGCTCTGGTAAATCTTGAGTCTGATCTTGCACCCAACTGATGATTAGAGGTGAAGTCCCAAGCTGGTGTAGAACTTGAGCTTGCAGCATAGGGGTATGGAATCCCTTCTGAAGCAGTATCAAAATCCGGGTAAGGTCTCGGTGTTCCTTTCTTATAATTACTCGACCCTGTGCATGGTTTGCATTGCTTGTAAGCACCAGAGAATTTCAGTGCCATATCTTTGATCTGCACAATGTTAGAAAAATGGGGTTGGCCAAATGCCCAAGAAAGCTATGCAAGAATTAGATGGAACATTTATCATTATGCATTTCCCAAATCATTATGTTTTTTAACATTAAAAAGAATCATATAAATGGAAGAAAACAGTTTATATGAGATAATTCCAAGTGAAGACACAAATTTTCAAAGTATTTCACTTTCTTTGAGTGTAGTTTATCTTGAATACCATGTGTAGAATACAACCGGATACACCAGATTATTACTGATGGGGCAGATAGGTACCTAATCTTTGTTACAAATTGCTGTAAGGTGAATGCAAACCATCATTAAGAATTTATTATGGGACCAAAAACAGCAGCGTTTGAATTACCATTTTAAAGGGCACCTACTTATTTGGTAACAAATTTTTGTAAATGTTCAACGTTACATTATGTTATCCGCATTTATTTCAAAAGATCACTCACGTGTGTGGGCAACTAACCATAGCATTTGCCTTAAAAAATAAAAATTAATATAGTTTGCAATAGAAGGTAAGTTGTGCACGTACGCTTTAATTATTTTAAACTACTGATATATGTGAACTCCATTGTGAGATCCGCGATTGAACTTAGCATTCTTCGTTTATCATAGGACTGCGTGTACCAAATTACGATACATTTGATATCTAGATGTAACAAAGCATAGCTTTGGGACACCCAACAACAATGCAGACATTCTTGTTTGCAAAAGTGATTTCGGGCAGCAAGCCCTAAAGTGAAGGCAGATAATCAAACCCAAATCTTAAACGATTTTCTACTTTTTTTGCATTTACCAAAAAAAAACAAAAAAAAATTCCGTTCTACGCTATAGCATGTATTTACTTTAGCAAAACAGTAATTAGACAAGAATTCAATGGTGGGTCACGCAAGGACATCAATTAGCAGTCTTTTTCTGAATATAGCGAATTCTCTTTTCTCCCATTACTTGTTGCGGAAACTCTAAAAGTTTTCTAAATATACTGGCGGGAGATTATATTTTATTTGTGCATATATTAAAAATGAGAAAGAAAAAATAATTAATTAATTAAATAGCCATATAAAATATAATAAATAGAAGAGCAGATCACGTGTGTGTGTAGACATCATAGAATAAATTAATTATATTTACAGTAGATTACTACCAATGACATCATCAGCACGTTACAGTTAAAAGTAGACATGTCTAACAAGTTCACACACAAAATTTTAACGACAATATATTTGTCACTGTCACTCATGCTACTATATGACCACACGTTTTTTCTCAATGAAGCACATGTTTGTGAGTGTTTATGGAGGAATTTAAAACGCTTTCAGCATTTCTGACAGCGTTTTGTAGAAAATTTAACAGTATTTATGGCCAATAAACGTACTTTCCGTAGATTTCTATATAAGCAATTCTAGACTGTTGCGCTCGAGATTATGGATTCGATTCGTCCATTCTTCGAGGCAATATTGGATGATATGAGGGTGTAGATAGAATCTAGGGTGGGCACAATACCCGTGCTTATTCAGAGTTATAGCGTTGTAGGGTGGAAGTAGTAGGACTAAAAGGTGTTCTCAGTTCATAAATTCAAAGGTGTATTTTGAATATCTCAAAGCTAATTCTTCTGGTGCTATTTATTATTCTCCATGGGTCGATTTAAAAGAGCACAAAGCAGAAGTAGAGCTACGAACAGAGAGTAGTGGAGTGGAGGAGGGTGTGTTTATATATGCAATGCAGACTTGAAAAGATGCCGAAAAGTGGGCCCCGCAATATCGGGCCCCACTTAATGCTCTTGTGATTTTGTTTGCTTCATTTTCATTTTTATGGAAAAAGAAGCTGAAAAAGCAAAAGCTTGTGTAGGTGAAGACACGCATACAGAGACACAGAGAGAGAGAGAGAGAGGGATTGATTAGGAACCTGCGCCGTCAGGCTTTTGACGGCTTCTTTTGTACTTGGGGTGCCACTGCCACGCGCTCCTCCTTCCTCTCCACCATCGTCCGTCTGCTTCGTACATGCTATGCACGTAAACATCTTCTTCTCCTTTTCTTCTTTACCCCTTTTACCCCTGAAAAAACCATATAATTTCATTTCAGTACACAGCCTCAATCAAACATACAAACAAATTCATGAACAAATAAACTATCTCCCCCCAAACTACCTCTTTTTGTTTTCATGGATGGATAGGAAAGTTATCTTTGTTTAAGAGGGGGTGTTCCTAATTACAAAAACGCCCTAGGAGGGAGGTATTTTTAAGGGGTAATTTGGACAATTCACTGGAGAATAGAACATTCCCTTGTATGGCAAAATGGAAGTTCACAAAACAAAACATCCTTGGATGAAGAAGGGGGCCCCAATCCACAAAACAAAACATCCTAAACGCCAATTTGTTTGGTGGCAGAGAAAATGCAAAGAAAAAAAAATAGCATCAACACAGCAAATGTGAACTGCAAGGATTGTGGGTTTTTCTTTTGATGATTTTCCCGGGAAACAAATGGGTCCAAAGTAAGAAGGGGAAAGAAGGAAGGAAAAAAAAAGTGAAAAAGGAAAAAAGAACTCGGGATCAGAGAAGACCAAGAAAATGCGTAAAATATAATGAGTCAATAATTGAAAGAACCCAAAAAGAAAATTGGGAAGTGGCATTTGAAACTTTGAAAGTGGTCTCATTAGGAGGCCAACTCGAGGATGTGCGTCGCTTTAATGTACCAACCCAATTCATAATTAAATAAATAAGTAAATAAGCAAATGCCAAAATTGCATTATTTATCCTCAAGAGCTGAACTCAGAGAGAGAGAGAGAGAGAGACAAAGTGGCACTCTGTTTCTTTCTCTTTTTTCTTTTGATCTTTTATTTTTTTCAACCAAAAATTTGTTTTTGTTTTTGTTTTTTTTTTTGGGTGGGGAAGGGAGTGTTGGGGTATGAAAGCGGTGGTTGAGAAGACAGAGAGACAAAGAAAACAACTGAAAAGAAGAAGAATCAGATGAGATCAATATTAAATTGAAAATTTGTATCATTATTATTCGAAAACGACTTACCCAAGCAAACCCTCAACTCTGCTTTTTTTTCTCTGCTCTTGTCGCTTTAAGCTGCTTCTTTCTCCCTCTCTCTCTCTCTCTCCTCCTAGTCGCTAGTTCCTTAGCTTAGCTGCCACTATTCTCAGTCTCAAATCCTCTCTCTCTCTCTCTCTCTTTCTAGGCCACTCTGTTTTCCAACTGTATCAATGGACCCAAAAACAAAACAAAACAAAACAGAAAAAACTATTAGAAACAGAGCATTCAAATTCCTCAATCTCACATATTATTGATGCAAAATGGAAACCAAACCAAACCCATTTCAAAAAAGTCCAGGGACATACGAGAAGAGGAAAAAGAAAACAATTAATGGGAGATAGATAAAGAGCAAAGTGATGCTCTGCTCTGTTTGGTTGCCGAGAAAATTAAGAAAAAAACAGTAAAGAAATTGCAACTCTCACCTAGATCAACACCTCATCTTGAAAACCCGGCACGGGAAGAACCAAACATTTCAATCTCCAGAGAAAGGAACCGAATAAATGTGGAAAACGAAACTGGAACCTCTTCACTCAACTTTCCGTAGCTCCAAACCGAGTGAACCCGAAATCTTGCGAAAATCAAAATCGCTTCAATTTTGGCAGTGTGAAGTCAACCCAGATCACCAAATTCTCTCTCAATGTAGAAACAACAATCTTCGGACGGATATTCTTGGCCGGGAAACGAAATGCCGGGCGATATATTCGAAATTTACCGAAAAGGGAATGTTTCGGATACAACAGCTCCGGGTTTCACGTTACGACAATCCTAAAAATCGGAAAATTACAGACGAGAGAGAATGGGAACAAATTGGGATCTTGTATTTATATAGAGGAAGATGTTAACGGCGTCAGTTTCCTCCGCTATGTGTAACGGAGGCATTTGGTCATTTGGAGTGAGGACACAAGGGTCCACATGTCTAGGTGATGTAAAGGGAAGGGGTGTCTAAGACTCTAATATGTGTAGAGAGTAGGACACGTGGCGGCCTTTGATTCGGTGAGGGCATGAGAGGGTGATGGAGGGAGATTTATTTTTTTAATTGACAGATCAGAACTCAAGGAACCATCTAATCAAGATTTTTTTAGTTTTATTTTTATTTTCATTTATTGTATTTATGTTTGAGGTAGGTGAATATTTTTATGAGGGGATAATTTTGGGGTCATTGATGCTCATAGCCTTTTACTAATTGGGTATGGTCAAATGCCATGGACTGAGCTTTTTCATAGCACATTTTCTTCTGTTTTAAGTATTAGCCACGAAAGTAGGTGAAAACTGTGACGAAATAAATTGCATAATGTTGTGTAATTTGTGTTGTTTTTTTGTTAATGCCTCATACCATCATGGTGAGCCAAGTCCATCGCAAATCACCATGTGGCCGTAGATGGCTCCGTTAAACTAATATCAACCTGAGCGAACGTGATGTCTTGGATATCAATCAAATGTCTCCCGACCAAAACTTGACTAAGCAAGAATGAATCAATGCTCGGGCGCTAGATACTGAGCCGACCACTGTGGTATTATGTGTACCAGAGGTGCGTCAATACTCAACAAGCGTGACTAGACCCTTGTCAGGTCAGTCACTCCATCTGCCTGATAAACAGCCTAGCAAGTGAAAGAGATCAGCTAATGCATTTCCCATTCGAAGCCAGGTGTCATCTTACCCTTCGATCCCCGATAAACAGGCTGATGATAGAGAGGGATCATTTAATATACTTCCAATCCAAAGCCATGTGTCGCTGGTTCACGTAATCTCTATCAGACATCATGGTGATAAGAATAGATCATTTAATGTACTCTAGTCCCACTTGGGAGAGGGGAGATAAATATCTCCTCCTCAAATATCTTTGTTTCTCCTTCTCCCTTCTATAAATACCCCTCACCTACATCAGGACAAGGTAATAACGATTCTCATCTTGAAAACACTACATCCATTCCCTCCACCTTATAACCACGTCTGACTTAACGATCGGAGGGAGTTCAATTGGGACCAACCCCAGTTTGCTCATATTCTGATAGCTATTCAAAGTGTGCAGGTCTTCTACAAAGAGCATCTCAACCCAGAAGGTTTGGTATAAGCCTTGATCTCAATCCAAGTTCAGGCTATACTTTATACGAGAAGGATACACAATTTACATTTTTTAATCACATGAGTGAGCATGCTTACTTAAAATATGTCTAATCTCAAAAATCAGGTCAAGTAAGCTTGAGTTAATTTTATTTTTGCTACTATTAGTATTGCAAATGAATGAAATTGAATAGATTGTGTCAAGAAATTTATCTTCTAATCAAGCAAATATGAATTTCGTGGGAAGCTGACTTAATATAAAGTTATTTTATGTACCTAACAAACAATAAGGACTCCAATTATTTTTGAATCACCATCACCACCACCACTGTCACCCCCACTACCACCATCACCACCGCCACTACTTGACACGGTGATTACCACCACCGTTAATGCATTTACCAACTCCACCTCCACCATCTCTACTACCATCACTAACATCAAACATGATGGCCCATCACTATTTCGAATTTATAGAAGTTTAATAAAATCTATCAAACTCTATCACAAGATTCCAACAAATTTCATCAAAATTCTTATGAAATTCAATCAAAGTATATGTGGAGTTTATGAAAGTAAAAAAAAATCCATATAGTTCTAACTACTTTAAAATTCATTAAAATCTTAATTGAATACACCCCTAGAAGTGACATTAGAAATCTCTAGCAACATTAAAACAGGTGGAGTATGCAATCGATTGGTCCGAAACACCAATACAATTTCAATAATACTATTTGTACCATATTTATTGACCACTTTGTTGATCACTTCTCTAGTACAAGTGGGTCTCACCTCTTCAATAGAGGTGAGCCCCACTAATGTATATAGGACCCATCTATTATTAGAGATGTGACCAGGAGTGTAGTCAATAAACATGGTACAAATAGCAGTACTGATACAATTAATATCAATAGCATATCATGTTAGAAAATAATTAAAAATACAAATTAATGGAAAATCATCCTAATTGACCATGCATAGAGTCTTTTTGCAAATTGTTAATGTCAAAATTACCAATAATCCCCGAACTAGGAAGACTTGAGGAACAAAGTATAAATGAGAGTTGGAGGTTCTACCTGTAACTGAAGGTGTTCTTATTACTAGTGATATTCCTCAAGGCAATCACCAAAGAGGACGTAGACACTAATCCGAACCTCTATAAATTCTTGTGTTATATGTTGTCTATTTTACTTTGGTGTGTGTGTGCTTCTACTTTACGTAGAGTATGTAGACATAAAACCAAACCTCTATAAATTCTTGTGTTCTCTATTGTTTGTTTTACTTTAGAGTGTGTGTGTGCTTCTACTTTCCTTGGTTTGTGTGTGTGCACATTGTGTAGTCCATCAACGACAAGATCTTGGATTGTTTCCGCATGCATTTCCTTTTATTCTCAGCAGACGTGGTATGCACAAGATATAGAACTGGTCACCTCAGTAACACAAGTGTAGTATTAGCTAAACCTTCTTTGATGCCGAAGTAAGAATGAATTATATAAAGAATTAATAGAGTTTCGAAATGGTTGAGAATTATTGCCCTCGTCTGAATTTGGGTGATAAGTATTTATAGAAGGCATGAGGGAGCATATCTCCTTAACTAGGAAAATGAGGATGTCTAGGTCATGCCTTAATCATGGCAAGGATTAGGAATGCATTTTGTGCTAGATCCAGCCACATTATGACACTTGGTCTTGACAACTTGATTAGAGTGAAGAACCTTGTAAGCGTAGAGAAGGCTTCCCACTAACAAAGATGTCTTTGGTGGGTTTGACCAAGTGTCATGGTGGGGTGAGGATCGTGATACCGAACCATGGTCGGTCAAGGTTGGTGGCGTGGCAATTAGGGTTGGCGTTGTTGAGCATGCTCGAGTCAGATGTGATCAAGTAGTGGGACTATGTTTACTCGACCATCCACGTTGTGCCTCATTAATGATCAATCGATACAGGATAGATCTTGTGCCAACAAAAGTATAAAAAATTTATCTTGTTTAGTTCATATTCTCTCTATTGAAGTTCCATGAACTTCATTCATCTAATCATTTGGCAAAAACATGATCATGAATGAAACAAGAACAAGTCCATCAGATACTCTCTACAAAGTCCAAAATATACGCACGTTGCTTAAAAAATATTTGTTTCCATGCAAAACTCCATCAAATAGCCCCCTCAAATGAGCCTAACTTGGATCGAACGGAGCTCACCAGCTGACAAAACCACCAGAAGACAATGGTGGATTGAATATGAAAGCTAAGATTAGCCTAACCAGTGATGTGTCACGTGACACACACTTTCCAAATTTAGCAAATGGTTGGTTTTGTATTCTATTCCTCACCAAAGCCCTCTAGCTCTAGGTCGTATTTTATAAACTTAAACCTTTTGTTCTCTTTTTGTTCTTTTTCTTTTGGTGGGTGAAAACAGAACTTAAACTTTGGATATGAATTTTGTTAGGCAGAAGAAATTATGACGCGAGAAAGATGTAATGAAATGAAATGAAATGACCAAGCAAAGTGGAAAATTGTATGGTGTGTCCAATCAAAACGCACGAGTGAGGAGGGGTACTTGGATGCGCCGCTGGTGAGGGAATCATCATCACTATTAAAAATCCAAATTGGAATGTAGGAAGATCTTCAATCTTGTCAAACAAACCACAAAAAGATTCTTATAATTATATGTGTCAACCAAAAGCTAAGCCCCATTTGTTTTCTGAATTCTTCTGATATGTTTTTGTCTTCTTCTACACCTTACCTGAGTCCTTCCTGATCAGAGACTGGTTTAATTTCTTTATTTATTTGGTGCAGCCCAAACCCAAAGGTCTTTTACTGTTTTCGGCCAATAACATCATGACCCATGAAAAAATTATTCCCGTTTCATTGTGTTATAAATCGGAATAACAAAAAATGTTATCCCCGTTTCATAAGAGTTACTCTCCCAAATGTCCTTCCCTGAGGTTGTTATTCCGGTTTCATAAGAGTTACTCTCCCAAGTGTCCTTCCCTGAGGTCCCCAAAGGTGGTCTCAAAGAAAAGGACCAAAACCCATTGTGCAAAATTGATGTTGGGTTTTAGTCAGAGGGAAAATAGTACGGCTAGGAGACAGTTAAACACTGCAAACCGGCTAGGACCGGTGACTAATCGGTTGAGAGGGTGTCTTCTTGGGCAGAGAGCAGAGAGAGGTTACTGGCTGTTGTCGGTTGTCAGCATCTGGTTTGGTTTCATGTTAATAATAATTTGACATTATTTTGTTTTGTGCTTGTAATTGTTTGTATTTTGTTGCTTTGGCAATATGGGCAAGCCATGCGCTTTAACTTTAGCCAACTACTCTGTCTCTGCTCTTGTCCTTGCTTTATTCCTGGGGCTAACCTCTCTTTAAGCAAAGAATGCTTGGAACAGAGGGACAACAAACAAAACCAAACCCCATTTCTCATCTCTCTCTCTCTCTCTCTCTCTCTCTCTCTCATGATATATATATACAAATTCTCCAAAGGCTCCAAATGGGTTTTGTATTGCATTGCATGCCCACGTGTCATCATTTAGAGAGTAAAGCTTTTTAGTTGCCCCCAAAGATCTTGTTGAGAAAGAAAAGCATAGTCAAGGTCCACAACCAGAAGCCATTCCTCTCATTTCCGCTGTGGCATTTGGCTTGGCTTCGCAACCAAATTCAAATTAAAATCTCGAACTTTAATTACCACTTTGTTATTTTTCTCACATCTCTTTGTCTACGATATCTCTCTCCATATGAACAAATTGTGTAAGAGAGAGAGAATTGCACACAAAATTTCATTTTGAGTTCAGTTGTGACGAATCGTATGATTGAGAGTCTTTAATGTGATTAGATCACAGACAATAATATTCCATTTGTTGGTGATGTTTTCTTCTTGTATTGTTTATGAAGGCATGCAATAAATTACCAAAATCATAAAAGAAAAGAGTCAAACATTTTTCTTTAAGTCTTCTTTGTTTAATGAATTTTTCAAAATCTTCTGCCTCTCTCTCTCTCTCTGTCTCAAAAAATGAAAAAACAGAAAAGAAAAGGAAAGACAAAATAAGTAGAAAAGTAAATGAAACATGAGAGGCATGGTGATGGTGGTGGTGGTGGATTTAGACCACTTTTAACGTTAGGAATGTTCTGTTTTCAAGTTAATAACAGTTGTACTTGGAAAAGTGATTATAAAGCCATTCAGCGATCCTCCCCAAAGTAGATCTCTCTATCGCAATCCCAAGTCTTTTCCTATTTCCAATGTTTGATTGCCATTGATTTATTGTACACGTCTTTTGAATTTCTGATTTTATATATATATATATATTTTTTAATTTTTAAAAACAACATTTCTTGCCTCGCCCCGTGTTAAAAGAAGAGACATGGCAAATGGATTGTCGCATACTAATACTATGTATGATTATGTGGATGAATCCCTCTCCAAGATGCTTGGATCATCAAAAGCTAAGATTAGGACGAAGAGGAGCTTCAAAACTTCAGAGTGTTAGGATTTAGCCACGACTCCTAACTTGAGTTGAGTTCTCCCTATACTTTGTAGTTAATCTAAGCTCTAAAACGGGCATGTGCTGAGAGTATATGTCCCTCGTGAGAATTGAAAGTCTTGCGTTAATAGTTCAAATGATTTCTGCCCTTTCCACACATAGCCGATTGATTTTGGGTTATATACTATAATTCTAACAACATGAACAACCAGTCTCTTGGTGGGAATGTCTGTGGATCGTGCAAGTACCCACAGAGATTCATAACACAAGTGATCTTTGGTGATTGAGATATTTTCGCTACGTAAGTTTCAAACATGAAAATTCCCTCATTGCTTGATATATACCACCGTAGATTTTATAGAAGGAATTTGTTGCCTTGTTTAAGACTTAACACTCTAATTATTAAGTGTTTTGAAGTTGAAAAATGATGTTAATGCTTGATAGGATCAATTAGAAAGAGACACTCATCTTGTGTTCGCAGAGTTCAAAAGTTCAAGCCCATATTTTGAACCCACGTTATTGGATTACTAAAGCCCATATTTTGACACCAAGAAAAGTATTATTGGGTAGGCTACTAACGACGTCGTCTTAAACTATTATTTTTTAATTCTTAAGACGTCGTCTCCCACTCCCACTAAACACCATTTCGAGGAGAAAATGCAGAAGTAGAAGAGAAACCTGTTACTTCCCTTCTTTTCCTGCTGTTTTCTCAGCAACCAAACACAGTGTTGATGCTCTTTTTCGGAGAGGGTCAACTTAGAGATAGAGGTTTGTCTTTAGCAAGAGAAGGGCCTGGGCCTTCAGTAAAAGGCTAGCCTGCAGAAGACAAAAATAGGAGAAACAGTCGTTAAGCTTCGGACACCGGTGTGGTGCCGGCCGAAGGCTCTCCGATGCCTGAGTCAGCTAGGGGTAGTGACTATTGCAAAGTAACAGTAATAGTGGAAGAGAAGTTACCCTTTTTCTTGGTTACTGTTCCCTACTTATAAGGAAGTAAAAGTAGGAGGTTTGCACAAAGTTCCGATGTGGGATTTTGTGCAAGTTGCTGTGATGATGACACGTGTCTCCTGTATTTTAGGTTTGGCAGTTCGGAGCTTCGGCAGGTGATTGTCCCTTCGGAAGAGCATCTCCCTTTGGCAGGGAGGAAGACATGTCCACCTTGGTGTACAATCACGCTTGGTTAATTACGGTGTAAACACACAGTAAACCGGTACGCTGAAGCTAGAGTTGGCTCCACCAATGCAGAACTATATCAGGTATTTTTACTCCTTTCCGAAATATTTTCTTTGTTAATTCCTTACGTCTTCTGTTTGGATGCCAAGAAAATCCAGAAAACTAAAAAGGAAGACAACATAGGGCCAAAACTTATAGTTTGTGCTGTTGAATGAAAACCCAAAAACAACGCAGCTTTATTTTCCTTTCTTATTTCAATTAGAACTGAAACAAGAAGGAAATTTAGGTTTATTTTTTCTCCCTAGGAAACTCTCTTAGAAGTTAAATGTTTTTTCTTTGGGGGTTTTAACAGAAAGGGTTGGAAATTCGTATATGGGTTCGCATTCAAAGGGTCGATTTAAAGCATGCACTGAGGATAGGATCAGTGGATTACCAAATGAAATTCTTTGCCACATTCTTTCCTTCCTTGAAACAGACGTGGTTGTAAAGACCAGCTTTTTATCACACAGGTGGAAGAATGTGTGGACTAAAGCTCCTACTATAACTCTATGGGATTTCGATTATCGAAATAGTTTTTATCGAGATCGCTTTGGGGAATTTGTGGATCATGTTCTGTTATCGCATGGCTCGTCAGACATCCATACATTCCAACTTCATTGTTCTGAATTTGAGGATGATTCTCGGTTTGATGCTTGGATTTGCGCCGCGGTTGAGCGTAATGTTGTTGAACTGGAATTTTCTGTTCCGTGTTATCTTTGTGAGGAGTCCAGGATGGATTGGGAAGACTGGCTCTATGAGTTTCCAAGAAGCCTTTACATGTGCAAAACATTGGTGGTTTTGAAGCTGAGGCTGCTATCAGTTATTACCATCACTCCCACCTTAGATTGTTTCCCAAGTCTCAAGGTTCTCCATCTTACAATCTGTCATACTGATACTGACTCAATGGAGAAACTCATTTCTTGTTGCCCTGTACTTGAAGATTTGATTATAGTTGGATCACTTCAAGAATTTTCGTATTTAGAATTTATTATCTCCGCACTGAAACTAAAGAGCCTGCTGATTTATTTGGAACCATTTAGTAGAGATTATAAGTACGACATTTTTGTTAATATCAATGCTCCAAATCGTGGATGAAGTTTTGGCAACCTATTATTTGAAGAATTAAAAATCCCTGAGCAAAGCCAAGATTAATTTCGGATCGCTACACGGGTTTGAGGACCTTGATGATGACGTTTTTTTTTTTTTTTTTTTTTTTTTTTTTTTTTGTTACCCAAGGGTGTCCACCGCCGACAGCAGTGACTAATCCCTTTCGCTGCGGGAGCTCTCCCAAAGGAGGTAAACAGCTGGCCACGAAATGTGCTCCATTCCCATGGGCGGGGATCGAACTCCCAACCTCATGGTTAAGGGATGAGGTGAGCTACCACCACACCACATCTCATGGTTCTGCTGTCTCTGTGCATAACCCGTTCGCCGAACTTCTCAAAGTTAAAGATCTTCCACTTTCAGCTAAAATTTTGGGGGTAAGTAAGTGTGCTCTAACTTGTCTCCTTAGTGGCTGATAGCATTTTTACATGCTGGAATTTTTCAATGGGAATGCTCTATCTATTATGCTGAGAAAATTTGACGTTGCTCTAGTCATTGATTGATCTGTAGTCTATCCTATGCGAAGGATCCTAACTTAATGCGTCAATATCATCTGCCTACATTTGCTAATTTGATACACTTGGAGCTATTTCTTCATAGATTCTGCTCTTGGAGATTACTGACAAAGTTGCTCAAGAAATCCCCCCACCTAAAACTCCTTGTCTTTCAAATTGTAAGTGTAGGTTGTGATTTATACCTTCTTAAAGCTAAATGTTGTTGGTACCAATATGCAAATTTCGGAGGTTTAATTTAACTTGTTTATTTTAAATAATCTTTACAAGTCGCGAACTGTTGTTGCTTACTACAGGAAAGACTTCGTACTCCATGTACCCTATGTATGGTGTCCGTCAATGTGGGTACCTATTTGCTTGTCATCATGCCTCAAGACCATTTGCATACGGGGATTCAAGGGACGGCCGGATGAGATGGAATCGGCAAAGTACTTGTTGAAGCATGGTAAAGTCTTGAATAACTTGATAATTTATACTCGTGATTTCCCTGTAGAACACATGATGGAGTTACGCCAGGAGATTTCAATGTTCCCTAGGGCTTTGAAGACTTGTCAAATTGAATTTCCAAAATAGTGATATCTTTACGTGGATTCCATTTTCAAAGTTGTGAAGGGGTCCTGTCCTTGTTGATGGAATTGCACTTGTGTTTTTAACTGTTCTTATCTTCTGCTTTTAGCTTCTTTCATTTTGGAAGAATGAGTTATGGAAACATACATGTACGGAAAGCATACATAACATAATCTGATCATTTAATTAGTTTTCAGTTTAACTTGCTAAAGCTAGAGGTGCTACTACATTTGCTTTGGCTAGCAACATTGATGAAAAAAAAAAACTAAAAAAAAAAAGAGAGGAAAAAATAAGTAAAGCTAAGTAAATAAAAAGGTCCAAAATTTACTAGTATAGGAGGAAAAATTGTTGGAGTGTAAGTTGTTAATTAGTCCTTTTTAGATCCACCGCGAAGGGACTGCCAAAACACAGGCCAATTCTTCTGAGCCTCATTCCAACCCAAGATAGAGCCTTCCCTCAAAGGATCCCAACTGGAGGACACAATCCCATAGCTGACCCCAAAAAGGGCCGTCCCAAAGAACACAAACGACACTATGAAGGGCACCCAAGTGGGCACATCTATTTTCAGGCCAACTTTCAAGTAGTAAAAGAAAGGGAAGAACAAGAGCCCCAGAAACAATGGCACCCCAACTGTGAACCCCATCCTCCCAATCATCCTGTTCGTCACGATCTCCGGTATTACGCCTTCCTCCCGCTCGTCCTCTTCCTCGTCCTCGTCCTCATCTTCATCTTCATCGCGGTCATTGTTTTGGTTTGTTTTCTTCTTGGTCTTTTTCTTTTTCTTTGGGGAAGGGCCAAAACCTCTTGAGCTCCGCAAGGTTGCATTTAAGTGTGTGGAGGGAGAAAAAAACTTCTGGTTTTGGTCTGTTGTGGAGATTGGGTAGTGGGTTTTTGTTATTTCTTTCAGACTGTTGGTGATAGAGAAAGTCCAAGGCTTAATACTAATCTGCAGGATTTAGAAAAAAGAAAAAAAAAATGCAAGCGAGAGGTGAGCAATTGCATAATTCAAATGCCATTGAAACAAGCTGCAATTTCCATCTATTGAAACACAAACACAATACTCTTGTTCTTTTCTTGGTTCTTCTTTCAGTGATAAAGGCCTAAGAAGGAAACATCAAAATTCAAGTTCATACCACCATTTCAGCACATTAGAAAAACAAACCAAGAAAAAAAAAAAAAAAAAAAAAACAGAAAAAAAAAAAAAAAAAAAAAAAAAAAAAAAATAGAGCTGTCGGCTGTCTATTTAATGGTACCTTACTAGACGATGCTTGGTGTTGCGAGGGACAAATTGGAGAGGGCTTGGATGACCATGAAGATAGCCCTGCAATTGCAGCCATGGGCTTTGGTTCTGCTAGTGCTCTTGGAAATGGAAGCCTTGGTGTTCAGAAAGAGCAAAAACTTGGCATGGGGATTTCTGGTATTATTATTTCCTTCAAAAAAAGACGGATTTGAAGGGCATGAAGAAGAGAAGAAAACAGAGTGGGATACAAGAAGGATAAGGTTAGAGATATTGCATTTGTGGGTCCCTGCTGATCTAAGGGCCGTAGGATTGCGCACATAAAATCTAAAACGTTGATGACTTTTTAAAGACATTTAAAAGGGTCTACTCTACTGTTTTTATTTTTATTATTATTAATTTTCACACTCTTAGCTAGGGGTGGTTGTGGTTCGGTAACCACGAATTTTTGCCCAAACCGCAAACCGACCGACTATTTGCGGTATGATGATTTTTGAAACAGCAAACCGACCGCGTTTTGCGGTTTACCACATTGCGGTAAACCGAAAAAAAGCGGTCGGTTACCGTGAATTAGTGGTTTAAAACCGCAAGTTCTTTTTGTGTCAGAAAAATCCAATATTCTACATTTTAGGCCTAATTTTGATGCTTCTTTTGAAGCCTTTTGAGTTCAAGCATACTTTAACCCAAAAATATAAATTCACAACCTCAACTTCTCAAACATATATAAATTACCTCCTCAACTTCTCAAACATTCACAACCTAAAGAAAATTAAAGTTACAATTCCAAGCATTCTAATTAAAGTTTAACTTCTCAAGCATTCACAACCTCAACTTCTCAAGCATTCCAATTCCAAATCCTTTAAAGTTACAAACCAAAAAGAAAATGCAATGCAAAATGAATTAAAGTTACAACCCAAAAGAAAAATCCAATTCAAAGTTAATTAAAGTTACAAACTAAAAGGAAAATGCAATGCACCAATGTTACAAACTAAAGTTACAAACTCAAGTGTTAGTGGTGGTGAGTGGATTTGAAGGACCCCATTGTGTTGTTTGAGCACCAATGTTATCTACAAAATGCAATTTTTTATTTATTTTAAATATAGTTGCGGTTTGCGGTAACTGCAAGTTTTGAAAATCAAATATCGCAGCCGCAAATGCGATTCGGTTTCCCACGATTGCGGTTCCATTGCGGTAAATTGTCGGTTGGTTTTTGCGGTTTTTTCGATTTTTCGGTCTAAAATGCCACCTTTTATAGTAGCCATGGTCCATGCAAAGTCAACCCCTTTTATCGCAATGGTTTTATGAAGATTTTAATCTATAGCTGGTTTGCACATGAGCTTTCTTTCAGAATTCCATTTGTACATGAGCTTTCTTTTATCACAGTGGTTTTAGGAAGATCTTAATCTATAGCCAAAGCCATTTTAGTGCCACATACTCAGAAATATTGTTTTTTTTAGCATTACTTTGCTTAGGAAATGAGTTTCTATGTTTTTCTTATTTGGCCAACGTGGGACTGGACTCAATGATAGAGGATGGGCACCTGTGAGACGATGGTTTTGTTGGGCACCTACGAGTTTAGGCATCAATTTTCATCGAAGTCTCAGTCTTTAGTTAGATACCAAGTATGTATCAATAACTGGGACTCAAAATATATTGGAACTTTTTAAGTTTATGTGGGTTTTAATTTTTAAGTGCATTTGTGTCTATTTAGTAGGGGTGGGCACGTTTTGGATTGGACCGGTTTTTGCCTCAAATTAGAACCGATTCGATACTATTCATCCGGTTTGGTTCGGTTCGGTTTTAATTAAAAAAATTCAAAAACTGTCCGGTTTGGATTGCACTGGTTCGGTTTTGAACCGGATTATAAAAATTATTTTTTAATACAATTCTCAACTGAAATATTATTATTTTTACTTAAAAATTAACAAAGTATTCAATTTCATATAAAAATAAATATTAAAGTTAGAAAAGAGAGATATTTTAAAATTAAACTTGGATAAATATTTTTTTTTTTTTTTTTTTTTTTTTTGTAAAATTAATATAGCGTTAAATATAAATATAAATTGAAAGTATATATTTTTTAATTTGACCGGTTTGGTTCAGCCCGGTCCGATTTTTGAAGACATGGAACCAGATTCAAAATCGGTCCAAAGCAGTCCAGTTTGGTTTTTGACCGGTTGTTGACTTTTTGGGCAACTCGGTTTTTTTCTAGTTTGATTCGGTGCGGTTCGGCTTCGGTTCTCTGGTTTGAGTGCCTACCCCTACTATTTAGGTGAGTTTTTGGCTATATTTAGAAGATTTTATAAAAACTGACATTTTTAAAAGGGGGGGCAAATTTTGACTATTTTTGATAAAAATTCGGTAGGGTGTAGGGGAATTTGTATTTTTTCAAAACTTAATATGAACAGTAGTGGGGTGTGTATGAATATATTAAGGTTAAGTTTTAAGTTGGATGACCTTTTTGTCATTTTATCCAAGAATAAAACTTAAGAGCATAATGATTTAAGTATTAGGATTAACAAAGAAAAATGGAGAGTATATTCTTTTAGTTTTGCTTAATGGGTCTAACGATTCTAACCTGGTTTCGAAGTGTGTACTGTGCCTTTCTTCTTCTCGCAGAACCTTCGCCTATCTCACAGCTCACTCTCTCTAGAAGATGAAATACCCATAAATACCCAGAAATTAAATAAAAAACAAAATCTCCGAAATACCCACCAAATTTATCAATAATTTCCATACTCATTAGTGATTTTGAGGTGCTATAATGATAATAAAAGGACTGTTCAGGAGGTATGAAAGATGGAACCCAGTACACCCAACATCTGGAGCATTTTGGGGATTGGGAGTAGGAATTGGTTGTGGTATTGGATGGGGTCCTGGTTTTGGGCCTGAGGTGGTTGGTTATGTTGGAGCTGGATGTGGTGTTGGTTTTAGTGTTGGTTTCACTCTGCTTGGTGCTGGAATTGGTCTTCCTGCAAATTGGCTCCTTCAAGTTCCTTATAATGGTAATTATTAATTTCGTAATTTTGCCTCTTTATGTGAGAACCATTTCATTGGTGCTGCTTCTTGTATTTGTTGCTTACCACATACATCTCTTTCTTTATTGATATGGATGTTTTCATTTTCCTGGTGAAATTCAAAGCTGTAGTTTTCAGTGCCCATCCAGATTTAGCTTCTCTTTTTTTTTCTTGTTTTTTTTTGGGGTCCAGCTGCGATGGCAACAAGAAGTGGTGCATTGGGATTTGGTCAATCTAGTGGTCTTCCTTTCTCCAAAAACATTGCAGGGGAGGGTTGGAACAACATTGCACCTTGCTTCACAAACCTGCAGAGAGAAGCCAGTGGAAGGTTCTCTAGCTTTAAGCAACAACATCTTTTGGACAAAGGGGTTGATTTATCTGAAATGAAGAGCCGGCTAAGTGTCAATGCTAGTTCTATGTGTGAAAGTTTAGAAGCATTTCGGGGACGCTTCTTCCACTCTCCCAAAGGTAAGTTGACACATACAACTTGTATTCTAGTCAAAGGATAACTCTCTATAATCATTCCTATTGATGCCACAATTCTGGTTGTTCTTTTGCTGCTTTCTTATAAGTTACAACTATTTATTGTCTTCTTTATTTTTCCCACCATGATAGCTATCATCATTTTTTAAAAAAGAAAGAAGTCCAAAATGAACTACATTAAGGCAAAATTAAATCCAGAAACAATCTGTCTTCTTGGAACCTGACAATGTAATGGCTACACAACGCACAAGAACTGTTTTTGGTCAAGTTTGTCACACGGGACTACAGACCGAGCTGGAATAATTTTAGTCCTATGCAGTGTTTTATTTTATTTTCGATGGGAGAGCTTCAACAGTCTCATTTTTACTGGACTATTAATGACCTATATTATCTGAGGTGTGCTTTTGTCAATGCGCATAGTCTCACAGTCTTCCTTCAATAGTCTCAGTCAGTAGATCCCAGACCGGCCCATACATAATTGGGTAACAAACCAGGCAGTGATCATGAGTTAGCCTGAAATTTGATAAACCATATTGATTTTCGTTCAAACAGTAAATCCAGGAAAATTAGTAAAATGATGATTTGCTGCTTGAGGCCAACATAATGGCCAATTATTTGATGTTAGTTCTACCTGCAGACCATGGTATGCCATTTATATCTAACACGATGGTAGAACCTGCCAAAGAAAAGTATTATACTAGAAATAAATATATGATGTGATACATTTGAGGTATTGGTTGATCTAGAATTGATTGGAGTGAGTGGATTTAATATCTGTTCTCCGTGTAGCTAGTTCACGATGATTTCTTAAAGACAGTCATCTCTTCATAGAACAGCTTATGATCACACGAGAGGGAATGATATAGTTCTTTGTAAGTTTTCAATCCTATTACTTTTCAGAATTTAGATAGCTTGGTTAAACATTAACTGAGTTTCCCAAACAAACTAACTTATATAAGTCAGACGTTAACAAATTGTTCTAGCTTTTCTTTTCCTTTAGGTTCACTCTGAAAGGCTGCAGCTTAAAGGATTCTATTTCTTTGAGTAATTTTAAGGATTAATTCTGAAGCATGGCTATGAACTAATAGCTGCTAAGAGTGATGAAATTGCCCACCCCACAAATTCTTTTATTTTGAATTTAAAAATTATCTGTAATCTAGTCTTCCTGCCCACCAGTTCTCCCAAACCGTCCATACCTCCTTCCTTTTCCCTTCACCCTAACCCTCACCCTATAAAAGTAAAAATATTTGGTAGCTGCCATGGCCAGTTCATATTACCTTGCTTCTTTAATCCTGGCAGCCCCATGGCCTTGCTGCAATAGCCGTAGCAGCAAGGCCACAGTTTTTCCCATTTTAAGATATTGAAATGCTATATGTGGCACACCACACTTTTTTCTTATATTTAAATATTATAACTTTTCACACACATAAATAAGACTAATATACTCTGTATAGGGTAGACAAATCATTATTACAGTCAGACCGCTTGTTCATTCAAAGTTTCTAAATAAATGGTTAAAATGAATGCTTCATTCTGGATTTGGTGGTAACTCAGAAATCACTATTACAATCAAAAGAGCGAATGATGTTTACACCATTCTCCATGGCAATGCCGCCATGGCACATCCACAATTTTTTTGTTAATTTCAAAATTTAAAGGTTTTAAGAATTATCCTCTATGGTAATTTTAGATAGGGACAAATTTGTTATAAAATAACTGTTATAGGGTGGAATTAACACCACTTTACTGTTAACTAGCAGGGGCTAAGTTTGATATATAGGTGGCAGCACCTTGATCACAATGTTTCAATACTCATGGCTATGGCCTTCACATTTAGTTGTCCTTTCTGATGTGGTTCATCCGATGACTGATGTCACTATTTCTACGCTATCTTGTGTAGGCTCAAGATACTGTTGTCTAATAAGTCCTTCTGATTTCGGTTTGCTTGTTCTGCTTTATGTTTCCTTACTTCACTTGAGAAAGAACAAAATAATAACATATGTATCCTTGCTTTCAGGTACAAAAAGTTGACACCATAGACTATCTGGTGCATATATTATAAGAATTGTAAGCATTCTTACACTGACCAGTCTCTTAAACTCATTTTTAGCCATGATTATAAATAGTTGGTCCATAATATGTAAGTAAGAAACGTTTCACATAAGGATTCCTCAATGCTGCATTCTTAGAAGCAGCATTTTTATAGCTTTTCAGAAAGCCTTTTTTTCCGTTGTTTGTGCAGACAGAAGACCTTTGTTTATTAGTTCTGCAAGTTCCTGATACAGATAATGTGCCTCCAATAGTTTCCAACATCATTTATCTTGTACCAGCTTCAGATGCACCATAGGTTTCGCCGTCCTCATTTTCAGTTTTAATGTTATATTTATGAAACCTGATAAGATTACGTTTTTTATGGACTTTATCTTGCACAGCCCTTTAAGTTGACTAACCATGGATAGTCTTCCCTAGATAAATATATTGCATATATAGAAATTGGAAAACAGAGGATAGTCTATAACTATTTAATTCCTATGGTAACCATGTCGAGCCAGCATGCTAAATTCTTGTATTGGCATAATCTTGAGGAGGTGTTTGCTTAAAATGCACTCGGCCAAAGTTGTTTTTCTATGACTTGACACAGATTAAACCCAAATGAAAACCAAAATATGTTAAAGACCACGCTTAGAATCAACTAGATAGCCAAAAATACTAGCTGAATCTAATCCTTTTAGCTCAAACTGCGATCAATTAAACACTAAATGGAACTCACAGAGTAATAAAGATGAATCCTTGATCTATAAACATAGTTATTAAGATCTGCTCAAGATCATCGTTTTCAATTACACATGCAAGCTAAGACTAGAGCTTATTGAGCTACAATTCTCACGCTTACTCAATTAAGTAGCATTAGAGCACTGAATTGATTATTTCTTGTTTCAGCACCCTTGCATGTTATTCATGTACCAAACTTTTGGAGTGTGAACTATCCTGAAAAACTTACATATCACAAATGTAAGCATCATATGTCTTTATCTCTCTCATAATTATTAATTTTTGGCTAAATGTCATTTTTGGTCTTAGCATAATGTTGGGTCATGAAGGGGACAAGGGAGGGGATAAGGTTGTTTGTGAGGGGTGGTCGGGTCATGGCTAGAGGGTTGGGAGTAGGTTGAGTTAGGAGGAGGAGGTTGGGTTGGGAGAGGGAGGAGGGATGGGATGAGGTGGTTGGGGAGGGGTTGATATGGGGTGGTTAGGGTGGGGTTGCAAGATTAGACCGAAATGCCCCTTATAATTTGACAGAAATTGAGGATGAATTGCTTGGAATTTAAATTATAAGGACAAAATTGATCAAATTGAAACTATAGGGACCTTAGTGGTAAAAGTGATAAACTACATAGACCAAAAGTGACTTTTTGCCTTGATTTTTTAATTTTTTTAATACAAACCATAGTCTAAACTATAAGGGGATGGAGATTTCTCATACACACACACTAGGGTAGAACTCGATGGCGATAATTATTGAATTTTTAATCACATGGTTTTGCAATTTACTTGAAAAGGGATAATGGGATTTCCCACCCATGCATGCATAGCCTTCCATGCAGGGGCAGAGCCATGTAGGGACTAGTGTGGTCCTAGAGCCCCCCCTCATTCTGTTTACCCCTTACATTTATATATTATAATATACTATATTATATTATATTTGGGATATTTATTCTTAAATAAACAATATATTAGGTTCTTTTTGTCTACCAATTGACCATTAAACTTCTTTATCACTCTTCTACTTTCAATTAAATCTACTAGGTTAGGTTATGATATTTACACTAAAAACTCCTAAGTTTTTATTCTTCTCTCTCTCTTCCTCTTTTGTTTAACTTAAGCTTAAGCTTTGTGATTTTTCCCCCTCCTTTTTTACATGTTTGAGTAGTGTACTTTAATATTGGGATTTATTATTTTTATTATTTGTTTTTTTTTGTTTTTTTGTTTTTTTTTGTATTTCTTCTCTCTGTTGCAATATAAATTATTAAGTTTTGAGTCTTTAATAGTGTAGATGATGATATTAATATTTAACCATTTTATAATATAAAATCAAGGACAATTATGATTGTAATGAATGAATAAATTATTAATTAATATGAAATGATATTATGAAGTGGGCTAAACCGAGTATTTAGTATCGTATTAACTTATTAAACAGTTAGCGCTTGAGTTCTCCTATTCGAATTATTTTATAAAATTGAAGTCACATAACCCTAAAATTTTGGTGTTCGTAGCTCAAATTGAAGTCGACATCAAGTAAAGTTGTTGGGGTTGTTGGGTGAATCGAAGAAAAAGATGGACATCAGACCAGCAAGGCATGGTGCCCATTGTCACTGTGGAAAGATGGTAGTGATGATGACTTCATAGATTGATACAAACCCAAGTCGAAGATTCCAAGTGTGCCCAAAGTCAAAAAAAGGTAAGAAACATAAAATGTCAGGGTTGTGGGTGGTTTGTTGGACAAGAAAAATTGATATTTGGTATATGTGGGTTAATGCAAGGAAGAAGACAGAAAGGATGTTAGCTTTGGGAGTGGTATGATCTTGAAATGTACCCACGTGGTGGTGATACTTGGGATGCTGAGGAAGATTCATAAATTGGAAGAGAAAAATGCCAAAATTCAAAGAATGAGCATAATATTGACTGGGTATGTATTGGTTTCTTTCTTCTTGTTGTATTTAATGAAATAGAATTGAAAGGATGCATTGGTTTCTTTCTTGTTGTAGTATGTAATGAAATGGAATTGAAAGGATGCATTGGTTTCCTTTTTGTTAATGTAATATGTTAAGAATTTTTTGCAATGAAGTTGATGACATACAAAGATACAAATATTCCGTATAAAATTCATCTTCAACAACACATTTCATTTCATACAAAGATACAAACATTCCATTTCAACCTTCAATCCATATCCATTTAACCTGAGCAGCAGTTTACAAAAGTAGTTTTTGATGGAATCATCCCAAAACCAAAATTTATTACCAAAATCCATCACAAACATCCCAAAAACCATTACCAATATCCATCACAAATCCTCCCAAAAACCAAAATAAAGTGGCTTACAAATGAAGTTTCGCACATCCTAAAATAACATATCCATTCAAACATCCCAAAAGCAACATATCCATTCAAACATCCTTAAAACATCATCTTCAAGGGTGGAAGAAGGCGTCTTTGATAAAGTGCTTCCTATGTGCAGTTTTTTTTATTCTCTTCCTAGCTTGACTCCCTTCTGCAGTGGTAATAGGTTGTGAAATTGGCCTTGATTGACTGGTTTGTGGCTCATTTAAAGGAGGGTAGCTTTCAATTTGAGGTTGTTGAGTCGGTTATGCCCCTTGGGAACTTGGTCCTCCATCTTTCCTTTTCCACAATTGCCTTGTGCATAGTCCATTGCCTTTTAGCTAAGAGCTAGTACCTTGACCTCTTAGCCTTAGTTCCATTTGTGATTTTGTACAATCTCTCCTTCACACCTACAAAATAACACCGTAAAAAAAAAAATTCCCAATTCAAATAATACTAGTCAATTAAATTATGAGTTTATTTAGTACTTAAAGCTTTGGTCTAAAAGACTTCCTAGCCTTCTTCCTTTAAGGATTTGAGTTAGAATTCTAAGGCTTCTGAGAAGAATATATGAATTTGAATTAGTAAATACAATTAAATAGTAAAGGCAGTAAAACAAACTAAAGGAGAGATTGTACCTTACACCCTTTCAGATTATGACATTCTCCTCCACAATTGCCACATTTTAATGGAATTCCATACTTTGGAAGCTTGTATGGATTTGAGGGTTGTTTGGGTTCAGTTGCAGGCATAACTATAGGCTTATAGGTTCTTAGATAAGTTTCCTTCTTATACCTATCATTAATGTAGTCCTCTGGATTCTCACGAAACCAACTTATTGCAACACATGCATGCAGATGTGGTCGTCCATTCAAGTCCCAAGCATTGCATGAACAAGATATGACATTCAAATCAACAACAAATATTCGACCATTATGGTGCATCACCTCAAACCTGTTCCGCCTAGCACCCTTGGGAATACACCATTGTGCCTTTTCTTTGGTCTTATCTAATATCTTTGTTATTCATGGACCAATTTGGCCATGCCATTTATCACAAGCCACCCTTCTACTAGCCATCAACAACATTATATAGAGCCTAATTCTTTCTAATATTGTCAACACTGGCTTTTCCATTGCATCTAATATGCTCTTGTTGAAGGCTTCCCAAAGGTTATTCATGAGCTGTCACATTTGGTGGTAAACTTAAAATGTGCCCTACTCTAATGCTTAGGGTCCCTTTCTACAAGCCAAGCATGAGCTTTTGTAGAAAGCTCTAACATCTTCCTCATCTCAGCATCATACTAGGGAACTATAGTACTCCTTGCAGTGTTTTCCATTTGTAGCTTCAGAACCAGACTTTTATGCTCAATATTAAAGTTTGAATACAACAGTGTCTATGCTCTGCTTGTCAGTCATGAAGACATATTTATGGTTGTTGCCTATATTCAGATCTTGACCAAGTAATTCCAAAAACCACATCCATGTGTTGAAGGCCTCAACCTCAGCAACAATGTAGGCAATTGGAAACATGCCATTATTGCCATCAACCCCAACAACACATAACAATTGCCCTAGGTAAGGCCCTTTTATATGTGTTCCATCCAAACAAATTACAGGCATACAACCTTACAAAAAGCCCTTTTTGCAAGCTGCAAGACATATATACAACCTTTCAAACCTAGGCCTTTCTCCTTCCAATGAAGACTTGATTATAATTGTGCTTCCCACATTTCTATTTCTCAACTCATTGTAGTAGTCCTACAATGCTTCATACTGATTGATAAAAGATCCCTCGACAGTATCAACTGCCAATGCCCTTGCTCTATACACCACTGTCTTAGAAGGATGGTAGCCATAGTCTGTAAACACTTGCTCAGTAAATGAAGAAGTTGTCCAATTTGGATTAAGTCTTAATTGGGTAGAATACCTTTGAGCCAACCACTTTGCATTGGCATGTTTATTTTTATCGCCCCTACTACATTTATGTCTTGGATTACATGTCTTCACTTGGTGCTACTAGCTATAGTGCTTGCATGCAAAACAAAGGGAAACCCTTCTTGACAAACAACTCTTATTGTTGTTGGATCATTCTTCTTAAAAGTTAATTCCCTTCCATGATTTGCAGAATAAATCCTCACAGCTTTCCTGAAGATGGTAGCATTAGCAAACCTTAACCTCATTTTAAAGACTAGGTTGGCCATAGCAGTATCGAGTATGAAGTCCTCATACTTTGGCATCCTATGCTTCTTTCTTCTCAAATTAGCAATTGATTCATATTCACTTGAAGAGCTATATGTGCTTGTAATTGCAAGTAAAGTAGTCCCACTTCTTAAGTGATCATCTTCCTCTACATTTGGATCACTATCCACTATACTATGATCCACATATCCATCAAACCACCTGTCATCATTTTTCAAGAAGGCCTTCTCTGTTTCAGATTGTTCATAATCATTATCTACAAAATTTGGATCATTAGTTTCATCATCCTCGCTTTCCTCATCCTCACTTACCACTTCCTCATCCTCATTATACACTTCCTCATCCCCATTATACACTTGCTCATCCTTATCCCCATTATACACTTTCTCATCCTCATGCACATTTTGCACTTGCTCATCCTTATCCCCAATATATATCATAATCACTATCTGTAGGCTCTTAGGAAATCCATTCATTTAGTATAACAAATTTCCATATGTTTTGATTTCAATTAGTTTCCCAGTCCCAACCTCTTCACCATAAAAGCCACACCATCCTCAACCAATATCTTTACCCATAGCCCACAACTCTAACATGGACATATACTCAGCCTCTATGTAGTCAAACCAACTTACGGAACCACCCAAGTAAGACCATGGTCTTTCACCTGAGCCTTTTACCTTACCTCCATGACATAACTTAATGTCACAAGGTCCTCTGTGTTTTCATATGCCACATACCAAGCCTAAATTAATATAGTGCCTTAATTACCTTAGTCAATGGAATACTGACAAAGCTACACACTAAATAAAGACCAAAAACCATTCATATTTACACAAACATAGCAAACAACAGAAGTACCAAAGAAAAAAGAAAAAACAAGGACCACTAATAACAAAAGGGCCACCGAAAAGTTAAAAGATCGAACAAAAACTACAGTAATACAATAACAAACATCCAAAAGCACAATGCAGAAATCTCACAAAGTAGTGAAGATAGGGTCCACTTACACACGGGTTGAACAACTCCAACTTCTCTAAGCACAGTCATGGTCACACCAACTCAATCTGCAACCTTAAAGTCCAACACGAAACAATATTCAATGATTCTTGCCCCCAATGTCAAGTAAAAGTATACCCAAATTCTTTTCCTAGATTCAACTTAACCAATATTCAAACACAAAAAGCCTACCTTTTCTATCCCATTCAAAGATTCGCGCTCCAATTTTGAGTATTTTAAAACTATAGATGAGATTCCCAAATTCGTAGGCTTCAATATTTTGCACCAAATCCCCAATTTTTGAACCCTAACTCAACTGGACAGCCCAGATACTCAATTTTGAGTATTAAGCCTCAATCTGATGAGGGGTCCAACAACATGCCATGCCGCCTGCCACATTTTAACCTACACTTGCCCACGTAGATGAAATCACTAAACTATTCATGCCACCTAAGCAAATTTAACGCCTCTCGTTACGAAATTGACAAATGAGGGTAATGTGGAACACCGAAAGTGAGCATAAGGGGCATAGTGGCCCAATTTGAATTGCAGTGAGTAAAATGGAATTTTCGATAAAGCACAGAGTGCATATTGACAATTAAGCCATTACACAATGACACTTGTGTTTTACTTCACAATAAAAGAAAAGAACCTAAGATCTTGATCGGTTGGTGAGGAAGTAGTTCTTTTTTCTTTTTTTAATAGTTATGGTAATGAAATTTGGGGAAATTAATACCAGCCCCACTAAATGACTGACGAGTGCATTGTCCAAACCTCATACAAAAGCCATAAAAGCCACATTCATAACTGGGAGACAGGTGCAAATACAAAAAATATAAAAACAACGAGCAACAACATTTGCTTACTACAGTTTCATTGCTGGGAAGCAAGAACTAGACATATAATCATGCTCCAGCACGTCTAAAACTCATTATCTTATCCATAACGGTCAAGTGGAAATACAAACATACGAAAGCCCAGCAGTAGCGTGTCAAATAAGAGTTAAAGTTACATGGGAAGCGGGAACTGCACCGAGTACACTGATACAACGGAATGCGCATACAACTCACAGGTTCAACTATAGGCATCTGCATCATCATGTAAATCAAATTATTAAAATTTTCCTCGGTCTTGGGGATGGAGGGTATCCACAAGATTTTCTAGATGAAAAAGAGCGTACCAGTAGGTGAGTCAGCACTCCTTGCGAAGAATTTGGAGGGGGCCATTGTATTAGACATTGACAGTTGCGTTGCAGTCAAGGTATTGGTGGATCTATGATCACTTAGATGGAAACCAAGATCCCTCGACTTAGGCCACTCATCGAAGAAAGGCTGAAGCGAATTCTGTTCGTGTTTTAGAGATCCTGGAAAGCCAAACTGTCCTCCGACATACTGATGTTGCTGCTGTTTAGTGATGGCAGCATCAACAGTCAATGGTTCAGTATGTTGCAATGTCTCTAGCTGGGAGCTGTTGTTTAGCAAAAGAGAACAATTTTTTGGTTCTGATTTCAAGGAAACTCGAGGCACCATAAGATGCCATGGACTGTCTACAGTACTGTCCATCCCAAGACACCTCACACTCCCAGAAGGTTCTGACATGAAATTGTGCTCTTCTGCTCCATTGCGCCCCCTGCATTGCCATCAGATCAAAACACCCATTTGGTTCTTAGAATCATTTCCCAAAGGAACAATAGTAAAAATTCATAGCATATGCCTAAGAGATGTATTTCTAACCATATATCAAAAATTCTCTTTATGTACCCTTTGAAAAAAATACAAAACTGTTTCTCTTTCTTTACTATTGTGAATATACAATTGTCATTCTAAATTTCCATCCAATTCCTTTGGTAGAAAAAAATATTGCGAGCCCAAAAATCTCCCCCCTGTAGACCCTCAGTTCTCTTATTCTATCCCTGTCTTTTTCCTTCTAACAAAGGAAAGAAACATACCATCCTTCCCATTTACTGCTTTGGTACAACAGCCTACAGTGCCTGGACATCATAACAAAGTAACCAGTGCTAGAAATTCATTGTTCATAACTTTGTTTTCCCAATAACTAGATCTCAGAAAAACAAGAAATTTTAACATAGGAGACCAGAAAATAGAAAAACAAACGATGATTACAAACTATAACCAAGATGGTGTTTCAAAGCCTAAAGGGATGAAATGGAAGCAATTTAAGAAATTTTTCAAGATAAGGTACACAGAATTATCCACCAGCATCTGCATTACAATTATGCTTACAGTCGTTATAAAAAAGTCACCATCATCAAATGCTCCGCAGTCCATGGGCCCAGTGGGCAGTTTCCCAGCCCAATCCAGGGCCACTAGTAGCCTGGACTAGCCCATTTGGCCTGTTTCTACTATGCTGGACAGAAGTCAAAACAATCCTCTTAGTGAAATTATGCCTAAAAGTCATATCCCACAAAAAAGGTGAAGATGATAGCAGGGATGCAGATGAGATAGCAGTATTAGGACTGCTCCACTCCACAAACTTAGACATCTAGGCAAAAGAAGAAACTTATACGAGATAAATTTCCAAGGACGACGAAACAAACCTCACTCCACAATCCTGGAGTCCCACCCACTAGATTGCACTCCCAACCTTGAACACATGCTACACAGTAACTTTCCAATCATTGACAACCCCGCCCCACTCCAATATATATATATATATATATATATATTCTTAGGCACGCCCATTCTTGCACCTATCTAAACTCCATCAAGTCCAAAAGGCTCAAAGAGCACAGGTTACACATTGGTATTGCAACTCACATCCGTAGCAAGGACCACAGAAACCTTTCCTCGACATTGATACCAACCACAACACTTTTGGACAAGTTTAACCTATGTTCGCTCCCCATCAATCTCAATCAAATCAAAGTCTCTGCCCCGAGAGACATACCCAATACATCAACCACTAGGGTAAAAAGAAATGGATGGGGTTAACCACCAACCCCCTAAATCTTTAAACCTGCTCCTAGGTCTGCCAATAATGATTACTTAAAAGTTGATTGAGCTCAGGCACCAACTAATGCATTTTTCCATGTACTCCCAAAATATTTCCTAAGCACAATATGTTAGAATCATGATCAATATAATCATAGGCTTTCTTGAAATCAATTTTAAAGTGGGCTTATACCAATACTCAAACAACATCTGTCTACCTTGAACAAACTGATGCAGGAGCATCCACAAGGCTCTCAAAGACTAAGGGGGCATACCAGCTAACTTGGTTCTTAGCTTGGGTTCTAGCTAGTTTAAGGTTTTAGTTGTGTTGTTTGATAGTTATGTGTTATTTGGTTCTTTTTGTTGTCTTGTTTGAATTTTATGTGTCATTTGGCTTGGTGAAATGATAGGTATACTCTTTAGTCTTTTTAAGTAGTCATATGATTTGTAAGTACTTTGGAGGGCTAGGCTTTAATAGTTATTTAAGTAATCATGGGCTAGGATGCTACGGCTACTGTAACCCTAGTGTAAATACTATGTTAAATGTCTTTGTAAAATAGATATAAATTTTCTTCAGTCTTTTTCCCTAAAACTCATCTATAGACGTTCCAACTTTAATCATATTGCCTTTTATCTCTTTTTTCTGTTGTTTGTTCCTGGAAATCCCCTTTCTATTGTGGTATTGCACTGTTACTCCAATGGACAGTAGCTTAACACTTCTGGCCTGCATCACAAACGACCCTTACGAAATTGAAATCGTATCACCCAGAGCCTCTCTCTATCTGAAGAATAAAATCTTAGATAGAATCTTGTCAAGGCTGGTGAACAAAATTAAAGGTCTTAATCCCTAACTTTCAGTGAGTGGAGTGTCTTAGGAATTAGACAAATGTAAGTCACATTTGCACATACATTGACCATCTCAAAACCTCCTGAAACACCATCAGCAATCTTGAAAGCTTGCATTGAAAATAAAATCCAGCCTAAGATATTTATCCGTATCATATCACACAATTACATATTTCTTGGTTACTCTTGTACTCAGAAAGGGTACTACTTTGAGAAAAATTCTTATGTGATGAGATTACTCCCTCTTAACTTATTCAACTATGGAACATATTAAATTGGCGAGGCTCTGCTTCAAGAGTGTGTTCAACCCACTCATGTTCTGGCCATTCTTTCATCACGACAGGTCTATGTTCCTAAACACAGACAGTGTTCTCATCTTCCATTCAGTCCAATCACAGATCCAGCAGCAACCTTGCATCTTCCACCACTCTCCTCAACAGTTGAAAATCGTGTTCCTTCGCCAATCCTTGGCGTTCCTATTGCAGTCTGGAAAGGTAGAAGGTCTTGTACTGATCGTCTTATATCTCTAATTTTTCATCTTATGATCATGTCACTTTCATAATATCATTGTCTTGCGTTAGAAAAAGCTCAAATTTTGAAAAATCTACTCTCTTCTCAACTGCTAACAAATCCGACATGATAGAAGAATGACAATAATCCCTAAAATCATCCAAACCGCTGCACAGAACCTCACTCTGTCCCAGACTTCATCTACCCCTGCACCCTTATAATCCTCAAACATTCTTCTATTATGCTCCATCCAAATGTTTCAGAACAAGCACCCCCATAATGTCTTAGCTTTCTTCTGATTATTCCATCCAAATGTTTCATTTTCAAATTTATACAATTCAAAATTCGTCACTCAAACACACCTTAGATGTCTCTTGGGTGATTATCATGAGCCAGCCCCTCCTTTCAAATCCCTGCCTATTGCTACATGGGTATTGGCATCCAGAATCTACTAACTACTCTAACTCATCAAGTCAAATTTCCCTCTATATTCTGGTATGTTTAAAAGCTTTGTTGCATTTGTTTAGCAAGCCTTCGATCAGCTGAGGTTGTCAGAAACATTATGTCTCGAAAATATCTTCTTAAGATGTAAACCTACAGCAGTAAATTGCTAAGTATAATCCAAGTCCAAAACAAAAAAAAACCAACCACTGTGTTTGGCATAACCTAGAGAAATTTTTTTTTAACATCTTAGGCATTGATCACTGATATTCAGGAAGTAGCCAGACATCAACAAGGAAGATGAGTATTCAGTTCAAGATAATAAAAATTTAGAACTCTAAAACAAATATTATGCACAAGAAAGACTTTTTCTTGTGTTGTGAAGTTTAAGTTCATTCCTATCGCAAACTCATAAGTCATGGCAATTCAATCAATACACAAATATTGTACTGATATACCTGTTTCCACTGTTACCTATCCCATAGGATATAGATTCCATCTTCAACTGAGATACATTGCTTCCAAAGCACAGACCCCCACTATTTACCATTGAATGCAAGGGCATGTTTTGGAAGCTCCCACTGTGGCTAGAGCTCCCAATCACACTGTCTGATGTCACAGTTGATGAAGATTGAGAGGTAGTTTGTGATTCCACAAGCTTTCTTGAACGATAGCGACCTCGGTTCATATGCCGCTCACAATACTTGGAGTCTGGATGTGCATCTTTGGAGCACCTCCACTTCTTGCCATCTGTCCTCCGGCAACGCCCTGGCTCCGGGTCTATTTTCTTACCGCAATAGGATGTATAACCCACTGCAACAGATCAATAAAAGTTACCTACCTATAACAAAAATCTCAAAGATACAACATGCATATCATAACAACAAATATAATATACCACGAACATAAACATGTTAACAAACTGGATAGACCCATTTGCTGTATTCTGAGACTAGAAAGAAAAGCTACACAGCTGAATCTCATCAGACTGCATCCTAATAAGTAATAACCAACCCACAACCTGGATAAGTTGAAGCATACAAAGAAGGCTCATTTGAATTTCATTCTTTTCTAATTTCATGTAAAAGACAGTTTCTACACAACCCACATACTGAATTTTTCAACTTATGTGAAACTTCAAAATAAGAGCATGCCCATGAAATAGAAACAATCAATTTATTAAAAAATATAAACTACCAAGAATGAATCGTTGAGGAGATATAGAAGTAAAGGAGCATACAGGTGGGGTGGTGGCGCAAGAAATTGGAAGAGATGAGGTTGTAACTGGTGCGAATGGGACCAAGGAGGTCAGGAGGAACAGGCAGCCCAGCTTTGAGATATTTGAATATCAAAGCTTGATGTTCCATCTCCGCCCACTGAGCAACTGTGAAAGGCGGCGCGAGGCCTCCGTTGCCCACCGACGACCCGCTCATTTCAGACTAAATGCTAAGAAAAACAACCAAATCTCAATTACACAACAAGCACCTCAGCTCACCATACATGTCTGTATATATTATGAGAGAGAGAGAGAGAGAGAGAGAGAGAGAGGAGGTTACCTTGGAGAGAAGGTGGTTGAGAAGAGGGATTTGGCCATATTCGTTGGGAAATGAGTAAATGAGAAGGGAAAGAGGGTCGTAGAGAGTATCTCTCTATCTATCTGTACTCGGAGACTTTAAGTTCAGTCCAAGAATTGTTCCATTTCCATTTTCTTTTTTTCTTTTTCTTTTTTTCAACATTTCCATTTTCTTTTTCGACTGCCTTTAGCTAGGTGGTGGTAATAATTTGGGCAAATTACCTTCTTCTTTTTTGGTCAAAGGGCAAATTATCTTTTGCATGTTCAAAAGACTTCATATATAGACTTAGGTCATGTTTGATAGGGGTGATTAGGTTGGATTAGTAAAAGAGATATTTAGTTATATACTAATTCTTAGTATTAATAATATAGATAAATCCTATATCATTTAATTTCTATAAACAAATCTAAAAAATGACAGCTGGCTCTATTGAATTTAATTTTGATTATTAAATTACTATGATGCCCTATTGAGTGTTTTGGGCTTTTTTATAAGGTTTTGATATTGGGTTTGTTTAAAAAAATCAATGGCAATTTTGTAATTTAAAAGAAATTAAAAGCCTTTTTGTTATATTGTAAATGAGCATCGAGTGTGTTTCTAAAATCCATTTCATATAAGGTTTTTAAAAAAATAATAATAATAATTTGGGCTCCTATATTGTGTATAATAGTGAATCTCCCTCAGTAAAATAACTAGATTTCTGTATTTATTTATTTATTTTTATTAATTGCTAACATTTGTGTCTAGAATACCCCATACAAGATTAGGCCAATGATCAAGTCTTCTAATATGTTCATTGCTATTGCTGAAAGCAGAAAGCCATCTTGTGGAAATCACTCATCATTTTCATGCCATGTTAAAATGGATTTGAAAAATAGAAAAGGATAAGTGTGCTGCAATTGAGAGATCCTTAAAAAATGAGGGACACTCTTATAGCACCCAACACACATTTTTTTATTTTAAGGATATGAACTATCTAATTTTTAGATATTCCCTCAAAGATCATCTCAAAAGATCACTTAAATCCTAAACCATTTGACTACTCAATTAGATTATTGTTATTTTAATCTTTTCTTGAAGCACAATGATCGTCTATTTTATTGCTTGCAATTAAATGCCTTAATGATTTTCAATTTGTCTGATTTTTTGCAAGGATGATCTATGAATGAAGACTTGAAAAATAGACAGTTTGGATGGTTGGAAAAAAAAATCATAAGGTACCCTAAAACTATATACATCAAATGAAATTATTTGAATAATCCCTCAATGAAATGGGGAATATAAATCTTGTTGATTCTGGTTATGTAAATACTACGTGTACGTTTCTTGCACCATATTTTAGAGAGCCCTATCACTTGTGTGATTATAGAGGGAGAGGTAGTCATTCAAGAGGGGAAATGAAATTACTCCACCCAGCCAGTCCCATCAGCCACCCCACCCAGTAGGCGACAACCCCCGCCCCTTCTCGGTGCTGGCAAAGCCTCCTTTTCTCTCTCCATCTGCTTTTTTCTACCTCTGTGCCCCTTATATATCTTGATTTCTCTGCCTATTGATCCCTCTCTCTTTCAAAGAGGAAGCGAAGTGCAGCTTTTAATCTTGTGTGGATCCATATAAAACAATATGCAAAACTGATAGTTATTGCTTGTGGTTTAGTCAGTGCTTACACTTTTGTTGGGTTTTTGATCAGATTTCGAGGGGTGTTGATTTTCGATAGGATGAAGAATGAGCTAGGTTATTGTTTGAGCGTTCACTCAGATTTGGATCCAAAATCAAGGGGGAGAAAGAGAGCGATTGAAAAGGGAGAACAGAGAGGAGGCTTTTCCAACAGCGACGAGAGGGGGTTGCGCCGCCGGAATTGGGTAGGTGGGAGAGCTCTTGTGGCTGTTGGGTCTTTCTTCAATTATTAGTTTTTTTAAAATTTAATTAAAAACTAAACTTAGGATTAAGTAAAAGTACACAAAAATTAGAAAGGCGACAGGCTGGGGACACGAAAAATAGTAACAGGAGAATTGAACCCTTACGAACGTAGAGAGCCACGTCGTAAAAAGCAAAGAAATAAACAGATTTTCTTTAAACAAACATAAAACCTTTTGCTTTCATTTATTTACTCTGAATATCCAGGTCATTGTTTAGAAAGCAGTAGGATAACGTTAATACTAGACCAGGCAGAAGATGCCATTAGGTCATATTGACACAACAATAAGCAAACCAAATGCCACAGGGGCAAGTACATAGGTTCAGCACTAAGAAAGACGGAGAAATCCACAACTGCTGCAGGTGATGATACCACACAAATGAAAGATTATATATATGACAACCTCTTAAAGAAGTTGCTCTTTAATCAACCCGCAACTTTCCTCGAATAGGTTCTGCCAGGTTGAATCTCTTGAACAGGCCTGAGATACAAGTTTCCAGATTCGCCAATCCACTGGACTCCAGCCTTCATGGGAGGGGGGCGCATCTGCTGCCCCACAGTCTGCTTGCGATAACCAATTGTCATGTTTGCCAGCTTCTCAGATGTATCTGAAACTCCACGTGTAATCCTTCCCTTGTTCACAGACGCTGCCAACCAACATAGTTTTCTCAGTTAATCACAAACGGAACAGAAAAGGAAGATCTCAAACTTAATAAATTTACGTAAACCAAAAACCAAAGGACGCCACTTGTCCCTATGATTGATAAATGTCATCAGCAGAGTACATGGAACACAATTGAAATCTCTGAAACATAATCCTGTTGTACCCAAGAAACTTACTAGGACTGCTTTTACCAGGGGGTCTATATTTCTGTTGCTTAGCAGAGCTCTTCAAATATTTATCATTCTTTTTCGCATCCTTAAATGATAAAGTTGAAAAAATTATTAGTTACAGTAATAGCAATCTTGGTATGTGCGTGGCATATAGCACACAAACACTCAAATAAAACAGATGAAAGAATACGCGTCTGCACTCACCTGATTAACCATATCCAGTTTTCGCTGCACACCTGCAACGATATTCAATCACATAATGAGAATCAATCTAGAAAATTATTGCTTCCTTATTAATAGGAGCACTTATCAAATTACATCTTTTAAATAGAAAAAAAAAAACTTAATTTTATTTCATACTCTCCTTAAGGAGGAATTGTTATCCCAAACCATCAGTATTAGCTATTAACAAGGAAAACCTAAGAAAAAACCACCTGGCAGAGAACTCATACAGTATTTTACAAAACAGAACACAAACTACAGATTTAAAAACAAAAAAATATTGAAGTCAGAATATAAATACTAAAACTCAACAGAACAACATTCAAACTGACCTGTGCCCATAGAAGCATGCAGCTTTGGGGAAGGAAAGTTGCTAGAAATCTTTGAGTTAGATAAAGTCCCAGATAATTTTCTAGCACATTGCTGCTCCGATGCTCCTCTTGCTCCAGCTGTGTAACAATCCACATAAATTAATATTCTAAACAAAATGAATAATTAAAAACGCAATTCAACAATTATCAGATAAACAAACCAAATGGAGGTGTCCTAGCAACAGTTGATCTGGAGCGAAGGGATGGCGGAACATAATAGCAACTCTGCCACATGAAAAGTACACCTTAGAATATGCAAAACATCTACAGATAACCATTCAAGACTGGATGTTTCACTAATTATACTTTGTTCCAAAAATACTACCTGGAAGAAAGGATGCTGGAGGGCCTCTGCAGCTGTTGGCCTCTTGGATGGGTCCCAAGAACAAAGTGACTACAACAGAAGGAAAGGGAAAACGTAAGTGTCACATCAGTAGACTACTAGTTAAGACATAAAAGTTTGCCACAGTGGGGTGGTTGGAGGTTGGGAGGGGAAAGCAGCTACATTTAATACAAAATTGGACTTACTGTCATAAGGCTGATTGCGCTCTCACTTGCTGATGGAATCAGTGTAGAAAGATGAACACCCGCGAACTGCAAAAAGAAACAGATCCAACTTAATATCCACCAATCATACTGGATAACGCAGATAAAATTAAATCCCAAAAGGTATGCCCCTCAAAATCATTTATATCGAAGATCCTTCATAAATACGATACAGAAATGACAGCATTGTCTACTACATGTAAGAATGTACAAAGAATTCCCCAAGAGATTGCTGAAAAAGTCTACGCAACTCAACGAACACACTAAAAATGCCAGAAAGAAAGTAGGATAAAACTGACCTGAGGAAATTGGTAGTTGATATCCCTTGCAAGATGAAGCCCATCAGCCCATGAATCCTTGGTTGGGCTACCGATCACACTGCATATTTTGTATATCTCATCTGCTTCGCTGAAAACACAGTCGGAGGGGAAGCAAGGGTAAGAAGAACATTAAAAGTAAACCAACTAATATATCAGTTGCTAAATTATCAGCAGATAAACTACTAAATATCTTCAAACAAATTACACAATCAATTAATATCAAAATGCTATCCAATAATCATAGCAATGTTTCCCATTGGGCAACAAATCAATTGATGTTTAAAGAGTAATGAATACATACCTAACACCTGGAAATAGAGGGCGGAGAGTAAACAACTCAGCCATGATAGCACCCATTGCCCACATATCTGACATTTAAATAAATGAAAATTAAGTCATTCATAAATCAACCATCAATAACGCATTAACTTTCCAAAAAAAAATTTCAAAACTTCGAACTTCCATAAACACTCACCGACTTTTGAGCTATACAGGTATGACTGGAGCAGGACTTCAGGTGCTCGATACCTAACATGCCCACATTCTAGAGGTTAGTAACTCACATCAATAAGTTTGCACTCAGGCAGAGCTAACTAATTACGAAAATAAACTCACCACCGTGTCGACACGTATTCCGTATATGGAGGTTGCGAATCGATTTCCCGAGCAAGACCAAAATCAGCAATTTTGATGACATCTTTGGTAACCAACAAGTTCTCTACAAAAGAGTGATAGGTAGCATTATGTTAGAGTTCGGTAGCAAAAGAAGACATGGACCCAACAGATGACAACAATGAAGGACTTCAAGACACAGAACATAAATAACAAAAGTAATACATGATTTTGCCACTTATCATTGAGAATTCCAAAAGAGAAATACAAACACAACTTGAACAAAGTTTAGCAACACCATGCACGAAGAAACATAGAAGGCCCCCCAAAAAAACACAAACAAAACAAAGCATTCCACTGATTTCTACAAAACATGAATGACAAATTGTTGAAGAAAGATGTCAAAACAGAGAAACTTAAAAGAGGCAAAAAAAATATAAAGCATGTACATTGATCGGTGCCCCTTCCAAGGTTTCACCAACTCAAAACTTCAATTTGGTGGTCAAAATTTTTTTTTTTTTTTTTTTTTTTTTTTTTTTTTTTCTTTTATCAAGTAGCAATATCTAAATTTGAAAATTAATTTTCAAACATAACCGTGTACCTCCAAAACCATAGGAAAACATGGCCACATCAAATCTCATTAGCAATGGTTTTATACTGGAATTATAAATAAATTTCAAATAATAAAAGAAGAAAAGTAGCTAATTAAGAATTGGGGTCCAAAAACAACAGCAGCAGGCATTACAACTCTTATAAGTATAACAAAGGGGAAATTGTACACTAATAAATCAAGGATTCCACACGATCATTGCAGCCTTAGCAAACATCAATCTGCTTTAAAATGAAAGAAAACTGAGACTAAAAAAGAAACAAACCCAAACCCACAATAAGCAACTAAGATTGATTCTTCAACAAAATATTGAAGAGGTACACAAAAAAAAAAAAAAAAAAAAAAAAAAAAAAAAAAAGAAAGATATACATTATGTTCATCATAGATAGCCTTAAGCCCTTCAAATTCTCTTCGAACCTTTTAATTACTCAACTAAAGTCGTGCATTAAAATTGCATCAATTACCTGGCTTAAGGTCACGATGGAAATATCCACGCTGATGCATGTAAGCAAGGCCTTGAAAAACTTGAAAACACCAATTTCTGATGTCAGCTTCAGGGAAAAGCTTTTCCTTATCTTTTATAAGTTGGTACAAGTTGTACTCCTGCAATGCCCATATGAGATTATAGAGAATAAGCAACAACGCAAGCCAACAAAAGTCGTAGAAAATATTTGCAAGTTTGTGTTAATATAACTTACCATGTATTCAAACACAAAGTACAAGATGTCACTTTCTCTGATGACTTCCTTGAGCTTCACAATATTCAGATGATTCATTCTACGCAATGACTGCATAAAGTAAAAGTCCATGATATAATTTGAAAATGCACAGTAAAGCAAGATATCTAAAGAGGGTATAGTAAGTTGAACTACCTTAACCTCTCGTAGACTTACACACTCCTCCCATGAATAATATCTTTTCTTCATCTTTTTAATTGCAACCTGTAAAATTGTTTCATTGATTATAATCGGAACAAAATTTAAAACTATAAATCATAAACTGAAGTCTTAAGAAAATGAAAAACACACTTACAACTTCACCAGTCTGCTTATTAATAGCACGCCAGACACTCCCAAATGTGCCATCTCCAACTTCCTTTATTAACTTGTACCTAGAGTAACCAGAAATTTACATATTGTATCAACATAAACAAATAAACATTAAAGGAAGTCGCACAGTAAAGAACCTTACCTCTCCATTCTTCCTGTGGAACACAAAGCAGCTCTTTCTTTATTCAGTGAAAGCATAAAGACTCGTAAAAGATAAATGGGAATTTATCTTCAGAAGATGATCCTTAAAATACACTGTAGGATATAAACAACTGCCTTGCTCGTCCAGCAGAATCAAACCATTAATTTTATGAGGCAACACGCACAAGCACAAGACCAGAAATCTTATGATGGATGGGCTGCACAGCCTTATTCATTACTAACTCCACAGCTTGCGGACTAGAGCATGACATAGATGGCAAAAAAGGGCAAGCACCACAGGACATATCGACACCAATTGAAAAACCAACCAGAATGATTTATCCCGCAGAAGAAAGACTCCAAGCTCAAGATAGTGTCACCCAAGGCTCAATAAACGAAAACTGCTATCTCATCTAAACTAAGTAGAAATCAGTGTGGAATCTTTAGCTAACCAATATCTTGCCACTTTTCATAGAAACCATCAGGAGTAACGATGAAATAATAACTATGAAATAAACAGTCTGCACTGGTTTGGGTTGACGTAACTGATTATCTAATATTAACTATGTAGAGATCTTCAGTCACAGATTGCTAGACTTTAGCCCTGTCATAAGAAACAGAGAACAAAGTTTAGGCATATTAAGCAGGCATTGGATAATAAGTAGATGCATAACATTTTATGTGAGAAATGTATACTGTACCCCTGAAGAAGTTTTCACGGAAATTTCAACTCGATGTTGTATCAGCAATGCGCTATGCACTAAAGATCCAACACCTGACTCAGAAGTAACTAGCATCACGTCTTCCGTATTGATCATTTACGAGAAACTGACCACTAAGTGCAATTAACAAAGGAAACCAGAAGAAAATCTCCAAGGACAAGAAATCTCCAGTCAAGCACTTCCTGGAAAGAAAAGACCCGGTACTGGTGGCAATTTGACCAGAAGCGCATCTGCTCCATGTCTTCAGAAATATGTCAAAGCTCTTTAGATCCAAGCCCGGCACAACCTGAAATTTAGATTACAACAAGTAACCGCACATCAGATGAATCATGCAGACATGATAAAAGGAATCCATTACTGAATATAATGGCCACTCAAACTAAATCTCACATAATTTGGGCACATAATGATGCAAATTCCAGCATTAAAAACCAGAAGCAGGCGTATTATAAGTATGACTGCAGAATTTTTAGAGTGTACAAAACAAATATTGTTGCAGAATACTTTGAGCCGTAGAAAATTACAGTTCAGACTTACATCCATACAAAACCAACACTTAGTTGCACTACACTCACATGCAAACGAAACCAAGTATTAACTACGCTATAACCTCCCTTAAATATCAATAGGCAAAAATTATACAACATTACCAATTTATATAATAAAGACTTAAAGAGATTACAATCAATCGCTGATATAAAAATAATTAAATAAACAAAAAGCCTCCAATAACCAAAATCGAGTTAAGAGTAATAAACGTAATGCAAATCAATGACCAAATTAAATCCAGAAATTACATTATCCCAGAGAAGCAATTCCAGATCATAAATTTTTTACCAAACCTTAGTAACCCAGACGAAGAAAATCTAATAAGACAGAGCCCCAAATTGTCAAATCCTGAAGCCTTTCCCACAGTTTTTCGGCAACCAAACAAAATTTCAACCGAAATCGAAGAAACACATCAAGACGAATACATGAAGAAGAACTAACCCTAATTCTAAAAAAATCCCAACTAACAAATTGAATAAAATCGATACACAAAACAAAGAGAATACAATAAATTCAGCCAAAACAAATCGAATAAAATCGAATTGCAAAAAAACACAAAACTTGAAAAAATAATGAAAAGGCGTGAGGAATCAGATCCGAAGAAAAGGAAACGAACCTGAAAGCCAAGCGGCATAACCACCGTCGCCAAGGACGGGAAGAGGTGGAATCCAGAGTTTCTGTTATGTAAAACCGACTTTGCCTAAAACCCACCGAATTCTGATCTGTGCGATGAGAGAAAACCAAGCCCTCGTGCCAACCAAGGAATTTACCTAATTTCTGCTTACGTATCCGCTATTTATAGCTCCACTCCACGGCATAAATAGGGAAAAGGGTATTCTTGTAATTTTACACAAGGCCCCAGATCTTTTTGGGTCGTGGCTGGCTGCCCTTTTATTTTATTTTCTTTTTATCTACAGTTTTTTTCTTTTCTTTGGGTCTGCCGGATCAAATGAAAAATTAAAAATGTGACTCGCTATTTAGCTGGGAATTTCATGTCGTTACTTTAAGGTTTTTACTTTTTCCTTTGCCCATTTAATGTAGGAAATAAAGGGTCTGAGTGCTATATTTTAAACAAAGAAATTTAGAAATAAACATGCAATTAAATATACAAATTTAATATATATATATATATAACATGAACAACACCGATGCTGAATATACATATAAATTAGATTAGAAATACCTGAAAAATTGGTCGAGGCGAATGCTTGGTATTTTGTCTTTAAGAAAATTTATGTCCCACTTTAGTACTCAAGGGTTGAACGACACTTGTCTCCCAAGCTGCAACAACCTCACGCTTATGACTGTAACACTACAAATCATAAGAACCTAACTAACCACGATTATGTTGAACATTCTCTCATACTAATAACTCCCTACTATAACGCAAGTGACTAATAAATGCTTTGAATGAATTGAATTATATCTCCAAGTGAGATGTAGATGCAGTAGCTTCTCTATAAATGTGCAAGTGACTATTTGAAAATATGTGTATATTTCCGAAGAGTCAAAATTTGCAACTCTTCAAAGACAAAAGTTGTATCGTCTCACTTTGAACATACATAATATATTATTGGATCAACTATATAAAACCCCCAACCTATAAGGGTCGTTACAAATTCATACCTCACCTTTGAAGACCCTACGATTGGGTATCCATACTTGCAAAAACCCTATAAATGACACCCTCCGTTAAATAAATTGTTAATAAATTTGTTAAATTATGAGGTGACAAATGTGGGCTAGCCGCACCAACCTACTTAGCCCCTAAAGACCTCCTTTTGATCTCTCCTCCACCTACACTACCTCATTCCTCTCTCTCTCTCTCTCTCTCTCTCTCTCTCTCTCTCTCTCTCAAACCAAAATTTATCAACACAACCTTCAAACGCTTTACCCCACCCTCTACCGCGAACTCAAAACCCCATATTAACTGTCCCGAGGGCACGCATAATTGATCCAATAGCCCAAAACCATGTCTATGAGATCTGTTGAATGGGGTAATGCCTGGATTTAAGAGGCAACATCAAGAAATAAAGAGAACCGACGCGAGGGTAGGGTAGACCTAGCAAACTGGTCATGTTTTCTGTGTTCGTGGTGTGTTCATGTTAACTTATTTTTCTTAACGGGTTGACACAACATGACCCATTAAACTAACGGGTGGAAAACACTAGACAAGAACACAACCCATTACAATTCGCGAATGACACGACACAACCCATTTCACTCGTTAAGAATTTAAAAATTGAAATTGAAAATAAAAATAAAAAAGGAAAATTTGCATAAATACCACCTAAACTTTAGACACGTGCGCAGTGAACAATCAAGCACATACTTGAGTGCACCTAACTCATGTATCTTTGTCTTTCATATAGAAGAGTTTGTATGATTAATTTCTTCTAAAATTAAAAGTGGGAGTTTTCACATAAAGGAATAGTAGTTTATAGAGATAAACATGGGAATTCCAAAGTTAATGGAAACATACTTGCCAAACCTAGTACCTTCCAAAAAACTTCATAAGATGTAGTTGTAATGAAAACTGAATCTTAATAATGTTAAGATTTGAGGTTGTCATAGATATCAAAGGGGTTGATATGCATAAGCTTAGAGCTAAAATAGATTTGTGGAATGTCTAAAGGAAACCTTATGATATTACATCTATCAACCGACAAGCAATTGCTGTTTTTCAAATCGCACGCTATATTCCTTGAAAGAGGACTAGCTTAAGATAGGAAACCACAAATCAACATTCAAGTGACAACTTAGTTCCAAGATAAGCTCCACGTAGTTCGAATTGGATCCGAGAACCATCTTAGAAGAATTGGGAGATCATTCTAACTACCATGAGTTAATGTATGACATCTACTCATATTAAATGGCATTAAACCATAAAAATCCGAATCAGATTCTATGCATGCCAAGCAAGTTTTGACTCTAGCTGACCCGTCACAAGGTATAGTACCTATTGGCTCCAAATGGTCTTCAAGAGGAAGATAGGCTTGAAGGCAAGATAGAAAACTATGATGCTAAGGTAGTATCATGAGGATTACAATAATGTGAAAAAAGGTTGACAATGAAGAAACCTTCTCACTTGTAACTATTCGGATATTGCTTGCCATAGCTACATACTTGAATTGTGAGTTTTGAACAAAAGGAAACACAAAACAACTTTTATGAAATGGCCCATGGTTCAAATCACAAAGTGTATAAGCTATCGTTGTCCATCAATGAACTTAAGCAAGCTAGTGGAGTTATAAACATTGACTTTGATAAGAAAGTCAAGAGCTTGAGTCTTTTCAAAGATATGAATGAATCTCTTCTATTACAAGAAGATTAGTAGGAGTTGAGTCGTATTCCTAATATTGTATGTAGATAACATACCAATCTTAGGAACGACATTGTATTTCCCCTTCATATAGTAATGGCTAAAACATTCTTTAGGAATGATTTGGGATAAGAGCATAATGGAAAATGATTTATCACGATAAATCTAAAATATAAATTGAGCTAATTAGATTATCTCCATCAATGAAGGCCCCCCTCTCGTTGTAATTTATACCATCGCTTGTATGTTTATAACTCAAGCAATGGTATAAAGAAGGCCCCCCTTCATATAGTGTGTGTGGGAAGGCCCCCCTCTCGTTGTAATTTATACCATCGCTTGTATTCAAAGAAACATATACTAATGAGCACCAACAACAAAGAACTAAAATTGCAGCGTAGCGTGACTGCATAAAACAAAAGCAAAGTTCATTTAAGATTCTAAAACAATAACAAGCTGTCAGGGTCTTAATTTTTAAACCCGTTGCTGTTTCATTTTTTGGTACATATAAACCCCTTACAAACAAATTTCCAAATCATTCTATTACAGCTTGGCATGAAAAGAGGAAAAAATTATGAAATATGGAAAAAGAAAAAGAGGAAAGGGAAATTATACCAAGTACATGTTGACACCTTAAAAAAATATATCTATACGCAAATCCTATATGTTAATGAAAGCACCTTATTGGGTAACTGAGTCTTCATGATAAAATTTGAATATTCTTGGCTTCTTATAGAATGAAGTGAACTAATTCTCTGTGAATGGTATTGAACTTGCTTCTAACCCTATTTCCAGCCCTCCAAGAGATCAAACTTGGTTTGGGTTTCTATGTTCATCATCTAGAAGTCCGATTCGATGAATACCAGAGTTTTTTCTGGCATATCAATACTTTCTCCTTCCCTACGCCATACTCAGTATCTTCTTTGCGACAACCCCATCTCATGCCTTTGGCAATAGTTGCAACAGCGTCCACAAAGTAGCTGGATTCTCGAACTATTGCATACCCGTTGGGGCGCAGGATTCGGTCCATCTCTAAGAGTACATATTTCATTTCGCATCTGCCCAAAACACCATCATCATTAGAACCATTTATACAGTTGAATTTGTACTTCCTAGGTTATCTGCCATGCCGAATTACACAAAGGTGCATAAAGAACCTAACTTCTAAGATTAACTAACTAGTTCAATATGCCAAATTAATATCCGCTTTCAACATCTTTAATGTGCCCCACACTAAAGAAAAGATGCATGAAGGCTCATTTTTTACCTGTGGCTTTCTGCAGTAAAGAGGCCATCAAGATGTAGAAGATCATAAGTTCGGGGATATGTAGAAAAAGCTTCACACCTGCAAAAGGAGAAAACAAATAAATCAACAAAAGACCGGTAGATTTCATAATGATGACCACATGGAAAGTGCATCAAAAGCAGGCTATTCGTACAGATCAAAGCTTCAATGAAAATATGAATGAAGTAAAGTTTACCAATCATGGTAAGTTCCAATAAGGCCCCGATCATAGACCACTGGCAGTGTATTTGCAGCATAAGAAGAGACCACATTCATGACCCACAAAGGATAATCAATCGTTCCTGCAGCAAAACCTCCATATATCGTGTTCATGTCCATAACATTTCTGATCTTATCTGTCCCAATTGCTGGGAGCAACTTCTTGTAGTGCTTCAATCGTACCCTCCACTTGCTGTCATCATGCTTAAAAGCACTAGCACTCCCACCATGCACATCGGAAATACGATCTGGTGCAACATGCAACCGCTCTGGCCATCTAGGGATGGATTTCAAAGCTGACTTTTTTAGCTTTGGGTCAGGAACGACAACACAAGAGCGCAATGGCGTGTACCATCCTGAGTCTGGTTCAAGGCTATCATCACACTTCGGAGGATAGACATCCGGCTCATTAAGTTTATTGTAGCAACTATCATCTGACAATTTCTTCCAAACAGCAATATCATCCTTTTTGTTATACAATTTGAAGCACAATGAAGTTAGCAGTTCTTGCAACTTGTCATAATCTGATTTCTGCTCTTCTATGGTTGTGTTCCATCCACGCCAGCGGTTTTCGTAGTTGACAGGTGGACCAGATAGGACCCAGAAACCTCCAGGGCGGAGTATACGATGAATTTCAAGGAGGTAAATTCCACCTGAAAGCAGGATAGTAGCCATTAAGACAAGTGGTAACCCCAACCCCCAAACTAGAAAAATAAGAAGGAAGATAAAGAGAGGAGGAAAAAGATATTTCCATTCTAAGATATTCTACAAGGGAAGAGAGGAAGTTCCAATCGTATGGCAATAACATAAAGTTCACAAGTGATCCAGGGAATTTTTCATTAAAAATTATAATTGGAACACAGGAACTTTGTGGCTAGAAGTTGTCTAAGGTGGTTTGAGAGAAAAAAAGAAAAAGAAAATAATCTCCAAATTCAAAGAGAACTAGTGAAAACTGCACATATCCTAATACTTATATACACTAATGGAAAAGTTCTATACATGCACACATTTCATATGGCTGAGCTAGCAGGCAAAATACAATGCAGCACTATGTTATTTCAAGATATTATTTGAAACTGGTTTCAGCAGCTGGACATCAAGATCTATAGACTGAATTATATTCTCTAGGATTGAAAGATTTTTATAAGAATTTAATAGATGAATTACCAAATTCCGTCCATGGGATGAGGCACCTTGAGCAGTGAGCCATATCAAACGAGTTTGAGGGGAAAGGAAGCCTCTGTGTAGAAATGATGCCAAGGATTGCCGGAATCCCACGTTCCAAGGCAAACTGAACTTGAGCTTCATGATTATCTCTTGGGGCGAGAGAAACTGTTAAAATCCCCCGATCTAGCAAATCACCTCCCCAACTTGCAACCTAAAAATTAGTAAATTAAAGAGATGAACTGATGTAACTTCGAACAAATTTAATTATTCAGAAGGAACATTAAATTTTATTATAAAATTTCAAACCCTGTAAACTGTTAATGCTGCTTTAAGAACAATAAAGAAATAGAGTATTACAAAATTAAAAATCATAACCATGAAAAAAGAAAGCTACAAATCAAATTTCAACAAGCATTTTGACTAAATTATGCTAACATAAGCACACCCTCCCAATAGAATAAATTATGCTTTCACCCACCAGAAATTTTAATTTATATTTACCATTATAAATGTTGGAAAATGCAAAAGAAGATTTAAATTGGACTCACCCCACACCCAGTGTCAATGGCAGTTCGAACAGTCCCATCTTTCATTTCTGGAATAAGATCTTGCATCAAATCGACATATGCAGATACACCTCTAGGAAACATAGTTCCTCCACCAGGAAAGAGAAACTTCTCCCCTTCTTTTCTTAGCCAATTCTGATTAGATTTCTGCTTGTTAATCCAATCATATGGCACATTCCTGAAACCAGATCCACAAGGTATACTCAGAGAAACTTTTTTTTTTTTTTTTTTTTTCGATGAAACAAGTAGAAACTTAAAACTGGAATTTTGACCATACATATCAGAAACAAACTATTAAACTATTTACCTGTACCAACATTCATCCCTGCTATTTGGCCATCTGATTGGTAGCTTATACCCATCTGGAGGTGGAACTAAGCACTCTTTCCTTTCAAATACTGGAGGGCAGTGGCGTTCCATGAAAGTAAGCCGATGAACACCATATTTTCTCCACCTCTGTACAACAAGCATGCATCATTTTCAACACAATTTGATAAACATCTAGTGGTTCCCAAATTCCAAAAAGCAAAAAGTACCATATGATCAATGATTAAGGAGATACCCTTGGATCTGTGCATGGGGTGTAGTCTTGATAGTCACTGCTGCATTCAGCAAAGGAAACAGTTTTTATTTGGAGAGGGGCCACAAGTGACTCCTTGGATGATCGAACTGCCTTTATGACATCTTTGACATCAGAAGGCTCAATTCTGTTCTTCTCAGAACAGAAGATTCCACCAAGATAGAATGAAAACCCGCATAGCACAACAAACAAGATTGCCATGGGGAAAACCCTGGTACCTTGGGGTCCTGGTTTTCCATCTTTATGCTTCATGATCTCAGAAAGTATTACCTATCTGCACAGATACAAGGCATATTATATATCTTCATAATTGTAGGTGAATACAGATTTTTAATAGTGCCAATCTGCTACCGAGCACCATTCACCACAAAAAGGTGAGAAAATTTTGTTCATGTGAAGTAGTACTAAGAAGTAGTTAAAGTACAAAACACTAGGAAACTTAAAGCAGCCACTCAAACCAGACTGGTCACAAGGGTTTCTTTCTTTCCCCATGTCATCCCATATATCAAACTAAAGCATCAGAAATCAAAGAAGTGAAAAGAGTACTAAATGCATTAATCTTAACTTCACATCCATTTATCTTTAAATGCCCTGCAATTATTGCCCACATCCAGTTAATTGAATGGACCTCACAAATTCTTTTAAAAAGTAAAAAACTAATGGACACTGATCCATAAAAGCCTCTTCTACATTTATCCAACAACATCAATAAAAGCATAAAGCATATGTTTAACTAAATCAAACCAATCAATCAATCTTAAACATGAGAAGCACAAAATAAGATGTGGATCACACACTGGAAAAGTGAGAACCAATTTCCTCAGATAGATCCAGATCCAGCTCATGGATAACAAATTTACTCAATTCACTCAAAAATAAGGGGAGTGGGAAAAGGTTGAAAAAATAGCAAAATGATGCAGACCAAGTGGTGAAATCGGAATAGTAAAGATAGACCACTTCAACTACAAGATCTGATGGCAACTACCGACACTTTCTACTTTCCATGTCAACATCCTTTTATGTCTCTCACATGACAACTGGCCCAACCGCATCAAACAGAGCCGTCCCTGATGCGGTCTCTCCCTCTCTCTATATTTTTCACCGCCACTAAGTCAAAAAGGCCAAAAAAAACAGTGTGTTCTTTACAACAAACAAAAATGTAAAGGGAAATAAAGTGAGAAAGCATCCAATAATTTCATCATTTTCTTGAAGCTTAAGAAAAGCTTCTACTTGTGATTCAGGGTTTTTTTTTTCGGTAATTACGCATGATTCAGAGTTATTGCTTGCCAATCAGCTGCTTTCTTTCTGAATCATGATGATTCATAGATATATCAAAATAAACAAGAAACAAACAAAGCAAGCACATTCTTCTAATCCAAACCCACAAAAGCATAGCAACAAATGCACCAAAATTTCGCTGAAACAGGGCCAAGAAACCAAAAGAAAGTGTTGAAGGCAGATTACAGAGAACCCAGTCCTTCATTTCAAACTAGAAAATAAATAAAGAAAAAAGAAAAGACTAAACAGATCATACACATGTGAAAAGGAATTTACCAGTCATTTCTTAAAAAAGTAAATCAACAGAGCAAGAACAGCACTAGAAACCCATTTTTCGAAAAGGGAGATAAATTAAGCATTTGACAAAAGTGAAAACCGCGTGCCATTACCATCGTCCAAAAATAGGAAATTAAAAGAGAAAAAGAGGGAGTCTGGTCAGAAACCAGATCCAATGGGCAAAGGAAAGAAACCCATTAACAAGATGATCACAATGTGTTTGACGAAATGACATAAGAAAAAGGACATGGAAAAAACAACACCATAACCATCACGATATGATGAGATCTGATGGAGCAAGTACCAAAGCATAAAAACTAAACAGAGTAAGAAGACAAGCTGACACAGAGAGAAGATGAACTAGTACCTTTTCTTTCTTCTGTGTATAGTGTGTCTCTAAATGTCTGCAATTAATCTCTGTTTTTCATGAGAAGAAAACCCAACAGGGATGAAAATATTAAATGGGTCTTCAATTTTCTGCCAGAAATCTCTGTTTAAGAGAAATGAAGAAACAGAGAAGAGAAAGAGAAGAGAGAGCTAGCAAGGCTAGGATAAAGGGATATGGCAAGAACACTGGGATCTCTCTCTCTCTGGCCTTTAAACACGGAGAGAGCTGAACCTTGCATTTATACAAACTACTTGATAGCCATCTGCTTCGCTGTCCCCCAAAGCCTCATGTTTTCTCTACTTCGCAGCTCTTTCTTTTTCTTGTGGGTAACTTCGTTCTGTCTTTTTACTCTCACCCCAACTCTTTTTCCTAAAAAAATAAAATTCTCTTGTTGCCCAAGCCCAATGTCATCTTTAACTATTTCACTTCACATGCATCCTCTTTCATATTTGAGCTTATTCAAATGGTCAAATTACATTCTTATCCTTGTAAATTTATACGTTTTTCACTTTGGTTCTCGTTGTTTCAATTTTTGAAATTTTTGTTCTGCAATTTGATATCGATGCAATCAAGTTCAAATCACATATTTCGCCAAACTAATAGATGTAATTCAACGTGATAATATGCAACAACCACATAAGAGGAAAGAATTCACGATGAAAGAAATCATCTATTTTTCTTAACATTGTTAGGTTTGTAGAATTAATAGTAACTAAACAAAATTATATGACACCAAAGTGGAAAATAAGCCAAACCACACGAACAAAAAATGGAGTTGGTCTATTTAAATTGGATCCAAATAATTACATTATGCGCATGTCAATTTGTCATTATCATCTTCAACAACAACAAAAATGACATTATCAATTTTACCCTTCTCATTATAAAACGAACTTTAAAAATAAAAATAAAAAGTTCTTTAGAAACCCTAAGGAACTCTCTCTATATATATATTTTTTTTTAAAAAAAAAAAACCATAAGGATCTTAGCTCTAGTCGCGGCCCCCATTAGGGGGTGGTGGCCTCCCTCCCCACCCCTTTCTTCCCTTACCCTTCCCTCCCCTCTCCTCTCCTTCTCTACCCTTCCCTCATCTCCTTCCTTTCCCTCTACTCCTTTTTCTCCCCTCTCTCCTATGTGTTCCTCCTTTCTCTCTCAGGGTTGTTTATCAATTTTTTTGTTGGACTTTCACTTTGGTTGTGCTGGTGATTTCATTGCCGGCTCTTGTGATTTTGTTATCCTTGAAATATTTGGTGAGTTGGGTGATTACAGTTTCTTGAGTTGTAATAATCACATCAACTCTTTGTGAGCTGAGTGTTTGTTTGTAGTCTAGTATCTACTAGTAGTTTCTACTTGTGAGAGTTTAGAAGTTGTAGTTGTAGGCAATGCAATTCATGTCTGGCTTATTCAGGCTGGCGGCTTTTATGCTTTAATTTCTTTGGCCTTATGAGGCTATTAGTGGAGATACACCTTGTACACTTGATGTTGCCGTTGTGTTTCTATGTATTTGGATTAACCCTGCATGGTTACTATGCTTCCATATTTGTACTAGCCCTTGTGGCTTATGGTCTTTGTGCATAATTTATGAATACAATTATTGTTTTTCTATCAAATAAAAAGTTAAAATTCGACATTAATTTAAATTAAAACTTTCAAAAATAACAACATTATCAAAACATACTTAAATATTAAGATACAGAGAAATGCTCTACCTTCCCTCTTTTCTTTCTCATTCGGTTTGTGCCACATATAGTCCACTAACATAAAGCTATGTATTTAATATGAAGTACTAATATTCCGCTTGAAAAGAGAATAAAGTGCTTTTGATTTTTTTTTTTTTTTTTTTTTTTTTTTTTTTAAAATATAGAAAGAGAATTCATTCATAGAACCAAAGACATACAAAGAATGATATGATATAGTGGTCTCGTTAAAACCTTCCTAGGACAATCTCATGAGACAAACCTTAGGGGATGAAAGAGTACCACACATGTCATGGACTAACAAGAGGGTTTGATTCAGGTCACTTTGGACTATTACAATAAAAGAACAAACCAAAAAAGAAAACTAACACATAAACCTCCAGCGATAACCGCAACTATAGACCAACATAGTAGACCTACATAAGAGGACTGCAGAACATCCTAACTGTCAAAAGAAGTCTTCTATGAGCAAAATCTTAGTCCTTTGACACCCACACAAACTGCAAAGCATACCATAGCAGAAATCAGGATATAACACGCAGGAGGAACACATAAACAACAGTAAAATGACCCCTGAGAAGCACTCCATTCAACTTAGAACAGGACAAAGAAAACCTCTTATGACCAAGCATAGTTCTTTGGTTGGCACAAAGTAGAGAAGAGCATCATATCCCAATAACTACCACCAACGTCACTGTTGCCGTTGCCGTTGAAACAGAGACAAAATATCAGCCACCATGTATCACAACTCTCCCTAGGAGAGTCACAATCTAGCGTCATTACTGTCACTACCGTCGAGACAAAGACAACATCAGCCACCTAGAACACTGCCAAAACAATTAAACAAACACATGAAAGGAAATAAAGTGATATCCCCCGATTACTTTCCTAGCATTACCAAACTTGGGAAAAGAATCTTCATTTCTCATCCCTTAGGAAATGACATGGGAAGTGATTTCCCCTCAAATCTATTCCGTGAACCAAACGGGGCCTTATTATTTAGGTTTTAGGAGTGGGAGTGTTTAGTTGTTATATATTCTAGGATTTTCTTTATTTCTGTATAATTTCATAAACTCAAAATGGCAATATATATTTTTTTTTTGGAGAACCTTGTGCAACTACTCCAAACAACTACATTAGTGGGTCTTTTGTGACAATCTTAATCTTTTAAGTATTATATATTGACAAAAAAAAGCCTTTGAAGTATGGGTTATTTACTCAAATGATTCTCAAACTTATACCCGAGTTGCATTTTGGTCCCTTAACTAAATTATTCATTCAAATGGTCCACTAACTCTTTTTTAATCGACGCACTGGTCCTACAATTACATTTTGTCAATATTGCCATCAAATATAAAGGTAAAAAAGTCCAGTTAAATAAAATAGTAAATAAATTAAAAACTAAAAATCAAAAGAAAAACAAAAGCCTATCTCCTTATGAAAAGAGCCGACCCAAACTTCACTTTGGAATCCGTGTCGAACCCCATGCATGTCCAACACCTAGCAGGTATCGGGCATGAATGACCAAATACCCTTCTTGCCCTAATCCCAAAAATTGCTTTAGGGTTTGACTTATACTTGAAAACCGGCAGAGTCTTCCTAAAAAAGGCTTAAAACCCGGAAATCTACCTGCACAACAAACTCAATTATTTCCCAAGCGTTTAGCAAACACAAGGTATAAACCACACACCAATCAGTAAAAGTTTCAATGGGCTTCAAGCCCCCTTTTACCAACATAAGAAAGTCAGCAAATTCAACTTGACAAAACTTAACATAACAAACAAATCATAAACTTACGGCTGCACCTAGGTTAATCTAGGTCCTACATACCCTTACTGAGGGATCAAGCCATACATAATTCTTTCTACCATGAATCACAATTAAGATAATACAGAAAAATTCAAAGTGAAACCAACGATGAAATTCTAGAATCATTCTTTACCTTGATTTCAACTAGTTATATAATTAAATATCATGCCATGAAATTATGTACCTAACTGTTCAATTAGTTTATTATTGTACATTCAAATACTTGTATAACCAAACCTTTTACCTGAAATTCATACCTGCAACCATTCACATAGTGCATATGTCATGTAATCACCCACCAAGAGGTATATGGGAATACCTTCAAATCCGAAGGCAAAAGGGGAAGGGAAAACTAGTTAATCACCTGTGTAGACAAGTAAGGTAAGTGGCTAGGGATCCCGGTCAACCTTGTGCAAATAATATGAGCAGGGTGATGAAAAAATATCATAATAATTGTACCACCCATTGGTACTACATAAATCTCCACATAGATGTACCTCAAAATAATCCGTCAATTCCCTTGCATAGCTCAGGGAGATATACTCAACCTGAGAAAGCAAATAATCTATCAATTCCTCTCGCATAACTTAGAGAGGTATACTCAACCTAAGAATGCAAATAATCCATCAATTCCCTTGGCATAACTCAGGGAGACATACTCAACCTGAGAATGCAAATAATCTGTCAATTTCCCTCACGTAAATCAAGGAGATATACTCAACTTGAGAATGCAAATAATCCATCAATTCCCCTAATATAACTTAGGGATATATACTCCACCTGAGAATGCAAATAGTCTGTCAATTCTCCTCGCATAGCTCAAAGAGATATACTCAACCTGAGAATGCAAATAATTTGTCAATTAAATTCTCCTCGCATAACTTAGGGAGATATACTCCACCTGAGAATGCAAATAATCTGTCAATTTCCCTCGTTTAATTCAAGGAGCTATACTCCACTTGGGAATGCAAATAATCCATTAATTCCCCTCGCATAACTAAGGGAGATATACTCAACTTGAGAATACAAATCCTCACAGCACATGATTCCAGCGTCCCCAATACTTGTAAGGCAATGTCATACACACGTAGACATATCCAAAGGCAACTGAAGTGTCCGAAGACAATCCAAAGGCAACCATATGTTCGAAGACATTCCGAAGGCAACTATATGTCCGAAGACATCAATATTTCCAAAGACACTACTATTTCAAAAGGCAGCAATATTTCCGAAGGCAACCGAGATGTCCGAAGACATCAATATCTCCGAAAGCAACCATATTTCCGATGGCAACACAATCCAATTATTAATCCATTTAGCATACATATAAAAATAAACATGAATATATCATGCTTGGAAAGTAAAAGCGATAGAACAATAATTTGTAAAAAGTTAATAAAACTATTGTAGCAAAATACCAATTTAAAATCAAACAACCAAACCACAAACACCTCCTAACCGAAAGGTCCCAGTCGGGCCGGCAATGTCCACCATCTAGGTCAAATAAGCATGTAGGGCTCACGACATCCGATTTCTAACCCAAAAGTTCCTGTAGGTTCAACAAAGTCTCCTAAACAAGTCCCAAAAGTTTGGTATTGACCGAGTGGTCGGATATAAGCCAATAGCGTGATCGGACGACGATTGTTTTGCCTAAACTTAGAATCATTGACTCAAAGTATCTGACACTCCGATTCTCGATGAAGAAGTTCCTACAGATCTACAGAGAACGACATAATTGAAATTGGAACCAATTGAACTATCAAACGATGACCAATTCCAAATCCAAGCACACCATCGTGCTCAAGACAACAAGTGGAACAATTTAGAATGCAATGGGCAGTGCGACGAATATTTCTCGAAACACCCTATAATACCTATACCAACAGATCAAGCACACCTAGGGGAGCATTTTTGGTTCTTGGACCATAGCCAAAAACTAACCGGAACTAGCCAGAACGAAGTCAAAACCGGCGGTCAAAAATGGGTTTAAGAATCGATATGTAAAACCTCAAAATCGATCCAAACTAAGTACATAAACAGGTAAAGCATGATGAGAGGATGAAGTTCCATACCTTACTCGATGAATTTGGTCGCCGGAATCGCCAGAAATCACACGAACATCGCCGGCAACAAATCAAGGCTAATCTTAAAGTTTTGAGGTCGATCGAGGTATGGATTAGGAAGAGGGGAGGAAGACATCACAGTAATGGCACTAGTAGCCGTGGCTAGATGGCATCGTTCCATTGACTAGAAAGCACGAAGTAGCGCAAAGAGGGAGAGAGAGACAAAGTCGGGTAGAGAGAGTGTTGCTAGAGAGAGAAGCTAGGATATTTAAATTTTAACTTCGCAAAATTATGGTTGTGCCACTGCACTTCCGTAGATCATAACTTCTTCATTTTAACTCCGAATTGAATATGTTGCTTGTCTACGAACTCGTATCGTCGAGTTCTATGCAACGATGCCGCTCAATTCCCCATATTCCTTTCCGAACAAAAAGTGACTAAAGTGCCCTTAGACCTAAGGGAAAAAATGTAATTTCACAATAAATAATCAATTGAATAACGATTTTTGGGATGGGATGTTACACCTTCTCCCACCTCCCAGCCCCTAGCGTCCCATCTTCTCCCTCCAACAACCCACCCTCTTCCCCTCCTCCTCTCTCCCTCTATTTCTCCCTTCAAACTTTTATTGGGGTTGCAAGGCTCTTGGTTTGTTCACAGAGAGAGAGAGAGAGAGAGAGAGAGAGAGAGCTCTCACCTCCTCACTTTAAAGGTGTGAGAAGAAACAAGTAGTGGATTTGCAGCATGGGTCTCTGGCTTTTTCCTTAATTTTTTTGACAAGAGTTGCAGACCCACAATGGAACATTGTTGGACTAATGGGATTGGGATTGGGATTGGAATTGGAATTAGGATTGGGAGGATGAGATGGGGGTTGGGATTGGAGTGGGGAGGATGAGATAAGGGTGGGGTTGGGTGGGCTTTTTTTGTTGTTTTTTTTAGGGTTACTTTTTGTTCTTTTGTTCTTATTTTTTATAAAATAGTTTTTAATTAATTTAAAAATGAAGAAATTTTATTATTATTTGTTAATCATATATTTTTATTTTTTTAGTTGTCAAAAGTCTTATTTACTCTCATAAATGTAGTATGTGCTGCTCACATGACTAAATTTAACAGAAAATGTAACGGTACCAATATACCGATTACTAAAGAGGTGGTGGACCATTTGAACGAATAATTTAGTTGAGGAACCAAAATGCAACTTGGGTATAAATGTAAGGATCATTTGAATAAATAATAATTTAAGTATTATATACAAAAGAAAAAGTATTGAATTGAATTGAGGTGACCCCAGTTAAAAATAAGAGAGAGTAGAAAACATAGAACTGTTAGGATTTGATTAAAAATAAGCCAAACCCATTGGGGTCCATTGGCAATTAATCCTTCCCCTAAAGCTCACGGGATCTCTCTTTTTATATATATTATTTCCTGTTTTTCTTTTTTACTTAGGTTGGATGTGATTTATTATTGTGATGTAAAGCGTACGATAAAGTCTTGTATAAGTGACATTCAAATGAAGCGTGAAAGGTTGAACTTGAGCTTAAGTTTTATTTTAAGTTAAAGAAAAATTATTTCAATAGGTTTTATTTTACTCTTTAGATTTTAGACTCATTTAAAGAAGAAAAATATTGATAAAACTACTCTTAGTTTGGTTGTGTAAAGGACGTCGATATTTTATTATAGATCGGATTGTATATATTTCATTGATAATATGTTTATATTATTGTTGCTGACAAAACATACCAACATGTTATTGATATATATTTTCGCCAAAACGATATAAACATATCAACAATCCGATTTTAATTAAAGATATGAGATCATGCTAAGATCCATACTCTTTTTTTGTTCTCTGTCTAGCCATGGTTTTTTCAATTGAAAACATCTATAGCCATGATGGCCATGACAAGCGCACAAACATGTTAGTGCTCAGCCTTACCTTATGAGTTGACACAATAATATCATGTTATCTTCACGGATTTTGTCAATGTTCATTCACCAAATTCGTTTTAACCTTATATTAAAAGCATTATGACAATTTAACTCAACTCAAAGCTACACTTTACGTATTGATCACGCAGTAATTAGGTGTAGACGGCACAGTAATTAGGTGTAACCCTATAAAAAATGATTGTACAAATTAAAAAAATGAGAATGTGAAAATTACAACAAATTAAGAGTACATTCCTTTAATCAATTTTTTCATTGTGGAATTAGAACACATAAAGATTTTAAAATTTTTAAAATTTTTTCATTGTGGAATTAGAACACATAAATTTTTTCAATTTTTTCATACTTATAAAGATTTTTTTTAAGTGAGTGACTTTCATAGAGATGACAAATTCTTAAATACTTTCATAGAGTTGATAAAAGTCACTAGTAAATTGGCATGACTTTTGCTCTTAACAATTAGCCTTAAAAGTATGGAAAAGTCATTTATTTAATAAGCTTTTTAAAAGTCATTAACTTTTTGGATACCACCAAACTTTTAAATACTTTTTAAAAGTCATAACTAAATACCACCAAACTTTTAAATACTTTTTAAAAGTCACAATTGAATACCACTAAACTTTTACATACTCTTTAAAAATCTAAATTGAATATCTCCAGACTTTTAAACTCTATAAAAGTCATTAAAAGTTTGAATTGGATACACCCCCTAATCTACATAAATAAGGAAAAATAGGTATGTTGTTTTTGTTGGCTCTAAAAGTACTTTATATTTTTGTGCTTGAGAAGTATTTCTTTTTCCTTATAAATTCATGCACTTACATTGCGTTAGATTCTACATGCTGCGTTCTTAGGACATGTGCAATAACTTTTTCTTTTGCTTTTGTTGCCTTTATTTTTCTTTTTCCCTCATCAAGCAACAAGTTAAATTCTTCAATTTCACCCTTTTCTCCAAGAAAAAAGGTTAATCGATTCATAAGCCCTAAAACATCACACAAAATTCAAAACTTCCATGCTAACTTTCAAATAATAAGGACAAAAATCATGAGTATTGTTGCAGGCCATTTTGAATGGAGAGGGCCTAACCAACCACAGAGAGAATATATAAAATAAAATAAAGATTCAACATAAAATTTTAAAAACACGACCGTTTGCAGTAGCTATGATTAGGCAATTATAGCTATGATCAAGGACTAAAATATCGATAATATTGATGAAATTATCATTTTTTCGGGTCTAGGGTATTTTGAAGTATAACAATACGCATATAGTATAAGTATTGATAATGTAGGAAAATATTGACGTCGATAATTACAAGAAATAAATTACAAGGAGGATCTAAGGATCCCAATATTCTTGTTATCGTACATAAGCTTTAAAGAAACGGACAATAGAAAGTTAGTAAACCAAATACAAGGGTTAAGTTTGCCGTGATCGATGGCCAAATCAGCTACCATATTGGTTTCCCGGTAGACATGTCATACTTAAAAGAATATGTAAATGTTGTATTAATCCTTTAATTGGTCCATCTTTATAAAATATATATATATATATAATAGTTAGTAATAATTAAAGGTTTAAAATACTCATAAAATAAAGCAGCCTTAAATTATACGGATGAGCCACTATGAGTTCTTTCTCTCTCATCAGATTTAAGGGCTCCTAGAAGTCTCCCTATTTTTGGAGGTGGATAGAGAGCATGATTGGAGTTGTATTTTTCCACTAACTCCCTAAAATTTGTCTAAATAAGTGGTTTAAAGAGCTTATTATGGATGCTCTTAGTGACATAAGATGCCAAATAGGAGGTTGGTAAATTTGACTTTTATGCTAAAATCCCATTTGGATTGGTTTTTTTTTTTTTTTTTTTTTTTTTTTTTTGGTTGTTAGTATTTTTGTTTTTAATGGGTTTAATGGGTTTAAGTTTAAGTTTGTGTAACCAAACTGAATCAGTCATATTCTAATTAAATCGCGCCCAATCCCTAGTGTTTGGCACTACGTTATATATTTTTAAATTGTGCAGTGGGAGGTCAATATGATCTAGCTTAGTGAACAAGGACCTTGAGTTGCAGACCAGAGGTCTCATGTTTGAATCCTATGAAATCTTAGTTGTGCATTTATGTAAAAAATCTCTCTTCTCTGTAATTTAGATTATTGCTTGCACTAAAAATAAAACATGCATGGTGGGAGTTGAAGCACTAAAAGGCACAAAAGTCAGAAAAATCACAAGATTTCTGACCATTTTTATATATTTATCATTCTTGTTTCTTGTCCACCTGTCTTCAATCAATCAAATCTTCATATGTCACCACCACCGTCAATGTTATTTTTCCTTCTTTCTGAACCCATTATTATAGTTTGGTAGTTTTGGACCTAAAAAGAAGTTTGGTATTTTAGCAGCCTCTAAAGGAAAAAATAAAATAAAAGACAAAGTTTGGTCCTTTGGCAAAAATACGTGCGCTCATTCATCACCTCCTTTGTCAGCGATATTCAAGACAAAAACTATATTAAATTCAGAAAATCAATGGAAAAATGAAAGCACCTTTGAATGGTAGCCTAAAAAAAAGCCTTCAAAATCCTACAACAATTTTTAAAAATGCCACATAAACTTATACATCATTTTCAAATTTACTGTCATAAAAAATATATATATTTAAGAGATGTCATTTTATTTTTTCAAAATCTCTAATTTGTCACGTGATGTTAACTCCGTTACAAGTTTGTTTAAAAATAAATAAATAATGTGTATGCTGTTTTGGTAAAGTTGGTGAGTCACTTGATTGCTAACATAAGAAATCAAAAAGTGAAGGTTCCGAGTTGAAAATGACATGGAATTTATACCTTATCTGTACGTGATTGCCTTCACTATATGATGTAACTCAATATTATTTATGAATTATGGGTTATTTTTTCAAATATTCCTTAATATATGTTGAAGCGAAGAGGATTTGAGGTTTGCGATTCTTTTCCTTTAACTAGGAAAGGGGTCAAAGATTACATTTCTTGATTTAGATTCATAGGTTGTTTTAGTATTTTGGTTATGTTGGGTTTGTGGGTTTTGTTTGAGCTTATGATTAATTATGGTGATGTGAGCTAGTAGTTTTAGTGCAATTTTTGTCCCCGTTAGTTTTGCCATGTTAATTTGTTGCCCTCATAGGATTGGTACTTTAGATATCTTGTTAATGTCTTTGATTGTATCGTTGAAGTTTATCTAATGAAATTTCTATTTGATTATATATAAAAAAACTATAGTTTGAAGTTTTTGGTATTTGAATTGAGGGTTCATTTATAACATAATTTTCTTTATATTGAATAATGTTTTTGTATCTAGAAAAAAAAAATAATGTTTTTGTAAAGCAACCAAACCAAAATATTCTATATCCTTTTCTTAGTTAAAGGGAGATAAGATTCTATATATTTTGTCATTTACACTAAAATGGTATATGTGGGAAAGCCACTTCATATACAAAAAAGCATCCACATGGACCAAATTGCCCTTAGTGAAGGGCGGGAGAAGATACAGAACATCCAATCAATCAAGCGTAGCAAGGCATTTCGTTAGGCAAAAGCACATAGACAAGCCAATCCAACACAGGCTTAGACACGTCTGATCTTAAGCCTAGATCATGTAAGGCGTAAGGGGATAAGCTCAAAGATGACTTATCCTTAGGCGGCACATCACTAAACCATCAATCCAAAATCTTAGGGATATCCTTAATAATTGAATCAACAATAATTAAGGAGATTACGCTCACTCTCAATCAACATCAAACACGTAGCCTCTTATGATGGTAAATCAACCACCAAAGGGTCAAATATAAACCAACCTCTATCTCTTAGAGAAGGTAATTGTTCATTGAACTAAGAAACCCTAATTCTCTCTATACAACACTATGGACTTAGGCATTGGAGGTCTTTTGACTCACACCACACTGGTGTGCTCAAGGACTTACGATTGTCTTTCTTCTCTTAATTTCAGGGCACAAAAGACCTTTCTAGAGGTTGACTAATTCATTCCTCTATTGAATAATTTGAATGGCAACTACTTGGAGTGACAAACGGCTTAGTTGCCCAAGCCAGTTGAAAACTCCGCATGAAAAATGCCGGGATTTGACCATAATGACACACTAGAGATGTTTAGAATAATTCTGATGATATGTTTATTTCCGTTGAATATCTAATGACAAATGCGTCGGCTCGACCCATTAAAATTCTCATCCAAAAATATGTTCAAAGTAAAAGGGAAGGGCAGCTGTAAATGTTGAAAGTAGATCTATTTTTGGCCTTTTTCAACCAAAAGACAAAAAAAACCAAACAGAATTGTATTGAATAAATAAAAATATGCATCACCGACATGTTTGTCTCTGACTTTTTTTTCGTTTTCTTTTTATTTTATTTATTTATTTTACATTTTTGGGTTGGCTGGGATCTGACATTTAGATACTTGCCTCGCTTATCGAGTTAGAGTTTAATGTCAGCAATGGGAATGTTAAGAACTTATTATACACTAAATTATTGACCCATTTGGATTAAAAAAACAACTGACTTAACCTTTTTTTTAATAAAGAAAACCATGGACTTAACCGTGAACTGCATTGAAGTACAATAACTGACCTCGTAAAATGTTGCAGCGAGTCAATTTTCCTTTTTAGCTTTATTTATTTATTTATTTATTTATAGAATCAAGCATAGTATTTTATTAGCACCACGTAGTTGTTGTGCGAAAACACTCCAAGACCTTGTCGTTGATGGACTACGCAACTATCACACATAAGCCACGCAAAGATAAAGCACATACGAAACCACGAAGTAAACACGCACACAAAGAACACAAGAATATATAGATGTTCGATGTTGTGCCTACGTCTTCTTGGTGATCCCCGAGAAATTCACTAGTATGAAAAAACTCTTTTGGTTACAATGAAGAACCCCCTTTGATCTCTCACAAACCCTAGCTCTCTTTTCTCTCACCCTTGGCTCAAACCCAATTTGATGTCATAGGGCTCTAGTACAATTATAGATGAAATATGAAACTTAAAGGACTCCAAAACTAGGAGAAATTATGTCTAGAGATTCGCTAGGGATATGCACTAGATTCGCGTGTCCCGCTCAAGGGCCAGTGTCCTCTTGAGTCTAAGCTATGCCCCTTGAGCAGGTGCTTGAGTGCCTTGGTTTGGATGAGAAGTACTGCTCTGCCGCTCAAGCGCCTATAGATTCCACTCAAGCGGTGAAGCCCAGTCAAATTGTTGCACCTCTTTTGACCGTCTGTTTCCTTCACTCCTTTAATATCTTCAAGTGAGCCAAACATCAACATTGGTCATGTATCGAATTAGGCAGTCCCTGAGTGTGGTCGGGTAAGGTGACCAAGTGGTGAGGTATTTACTAACTAGGCTGCTCACGTGGCATTTTATCAATGGTCAATCGTCTTGAGCAGGATTATGTATCAACAATTTTTATTTTTTTTTAAAAATAAAGAAAAATGCTTTCAAATTAAGGGCACTTCCACCCATTGTGCCATGGCAAAGGGTAAGGCAAAGTAAGGGAAGACACTATTCACGTGAATAGTGAATGCCATAGCATTTTTTTTAATGCATTCCCACCCATTGCCATGGCAATCCAAGGGCAACCTCTATTCACATAAGATATGAGGAAATGAATTTGTATGGATTTTGATTTGAGAAGTGAAGAACATTACTAGGTATTTATTCATTTTAAAAAAAAAATTTGGTATTTAAATTGGTCGTTGACGACACTAATGTAAGCATGACGTCAACTTGCCTAGGCCGTAGCTTAGGAAAGTCTTGCCTTCCAGCTTGCCCAGTTTTATGACTCACTTGTTGCCATGACAATTTTTTCTTAAATATGGATTATTTTTATAGTGTAGGCCCCTTTTTGTCATGATAAAAGAGAATGGAGGTGGAAGTGCTCTATCAAACCATCCTTACTTCTAAATCGAATAAGATTGTTTTTGGGTAGTAAACTGTCCTACTTAAGATCCATGACCTAACTATCAAACTAAATTGACAGAGAAAAAGATGTGTGGGACGAAGTCACATGGTTTATGGGCCCTCCAAATTGAAAATTAAGGCAAAATGGATTGAAGAAAAGAGAGGACATAGTCGGTGTAGTGCAGCTGAGCTCAACGCGCATCTAGATGTAAAGGATAAAATTATAATTAAGATTTGAGAGAGACCGCGTCATGCAGAGCACGTCTGTTAATTATCAACTTGTCGCTATTGACTAATGACTTTGTTGAGACGGAATTGAGGAACGTGGTTTTTATTATTATTATTGCCTCTTCGGCATCCATCAAAAGCTCAAACACACTCCACATGGCAATATGCATATGCATCTCCATGTGACGAGGTGTGGGGAAGAAAAAAAAACACAAAGCCTCTCTCTCTCTCTCTCTCTCTCTCTCCAATCATTCATCAAGTTTTTGGGACAAGTAGTGCCAACTGTGTGCTCAATGTTTGAGTGGTGTTGACGGTGTACAAGATAATTAGAAAGTAGATTTGGGTTGGATTTGTATGGTTATGGCCTTTGAATCATTCTACTCTAGAAAGTTATTTTAAGATTTCTATTATAATCATGCTCCATAGCTTAGGATTTAGGAGCTAGTTTCGTTTTGACTAGAGTGTGTTGGGTAAATATTCTCTCTTTGTTTTTATAATCTAGGGTAAGTAAGCATTAAGGCCAACTTTTTAGGCTCTCAATTGTGGCACTGGACTACATCCCACCCAATCCTAAACTTGGGTCTGCCCCTGACTACGAGCCGAAAGGAATAAAGACGCTGTATTGCAATTTATATTCTATAAACTTAAAAAATTTCAATATAAAAGTAACTTAAAAATACTAATATAAGAGTCAAAGGTTTATAGAATATAATAGAAACTATGACACAGTGTAGTAGTTTGCAATTGAAGCTTCTCCGTCGAGGGTCAAGGTTCAGGTTCCTTTAAGTACATAAAATTTGCTATTTTTTTTAGTATGAATAAAGGGCACTGGAAGTGGTGGCAGCGGGTGGCCGGCTGAGGGTCGCTGGACATGTGGAGTTGTATGATTGACTTTAAATAAATTTATTAAAATATAAGAGTGACAATATTTGTGTGATCGAATACTATATTTTAGTCATTGACCTTTTTAGATGATGTGAAATTAGATTATCATCTACCAGAATAGTAAACTTCCTATTGATTTTAAACAAAAGCTCCCTAAAGTATTTGCTTAACTCGTGGCACGAGCTTACACCAGTGCTAATGGGCTTTTTCTATTGTATGTAGAAATTTTTGGAATCAAAATAGAAGTACGAAGAAAATAAGAGAAGAGATGAAGTGACAGAGAAATAAATGAGAAGAAAATGTGTGGAGTTGGGAAGTAACTTTTAATAAGGGGGAATAAGAAAGCCAAAAAATGGACAAGTATGCCGAACAAAGACCGAGCCCAAAGATTCGACCAAATAAATAAAAACCAGGCCCAAGGAAATACACGAACCTCCGTGGTAAGCCTAGAGTTAAAAGGGCCGTACAAGAAATCCTATGGACGCCTATTAATTCAATTGGTGCGCTCAAAGTACTTCTGTAACCATTTACAAAATAATTAAATAAAAATCGTGGAGGTTTGTAACTCTAGTAATTATGTGTTTGTGTCTACACATGAGATCTACCATTTTTTTCTGTAACATCGCGTTTTGAATGAAAAAAAAAGAAAAAAGATGTGGGCTTTTAAGGTATTTTACTTCCTTTGGACTTATAAGGCTTCTATCTTGGGTTGTTCTCTTTCTAACGAGCATTCAAATAAGTCATTTGAGTCAAAGAATTTATAGAAACAAATATTTTGGCTTCCAATTATGAGGTGTCACGTGAATAAGAAGAATATCTCATAGGTCAATTAATTGAGCCCATTTATTTGGCAAATTAATTGTTACTAACAATAGGGATATTATCTTAAATATGTGATCTTATCTTTCTTTAAAAGGTAATATCACCAATTTAGGATATTATCCTATTTAGGAGATATCATCATCATTTAGTGATTTAATCCCAATCAAATCCCTAATTGATTCAATCTCTATAATTTGGGGAACGAATATCTTCCTTCCAAATAAGAAGATATTCTTTGAAAACAGATTCCTAGAGCCTTATAAATACATGGCTACATTCAACACACAAGGTAATTCGAAACTCAATTCCCAAACCCTAGTAAAATACCCGAAATCCCTCTCTCCTAGCCGACGGCCATTCTAGCCGCCGGCTCCTCAACTTTTGCCTCTCCATGCATCTCCGACCACCACAAACGGCTCTGGTCACCCGGTTCTCCCCATAAAGAAAACTATGTACCCTTTTTAGCTATTGTTTCTCAAGGATTTAATCAAACTAACTTAGGCATCAAAGGGCTTTGGCCAACACTCCCCCAGTGTGGTCTTTTACTCTTGTTTGATTTTACAGGAACCGAGGAAGAGAGAGAAGGAAGTTCTAGAGTTGAAGGATCTTCAAGCGGATATTGTTCGATGAGAATATTTACACAAATAGAATTCTATAGTGATAAGGCTCTTAGATGAGGCCATATCTTTTAACCATTGGATCAAACTAACCAATTTGATCCAATGATAACTTAAGAGATAGAGTCTTACCTAAGGGCTCACTATAAAATGACTCAATTTGAGCTATCTTTCTTTCTTCTTTTTTATTTATTTTTATTTTTTATTATTTATTATTAAGGTTATGGGCCTGTTATTTCTTTTGGGGCCTATAAGCCTTCTATTTAGGTAAGAGAAATTTTTCGTGGTGTACCATCCAATACACATATGACATGTGAAATTATTTTTCAACTTACTGCATTGCTTTTTATGGCATGTGGCTGGCTACATTGGAAATGTTCCACATGTCATACGTTTATTGGATGATACACCAACCACGTGGTGTACCCGGAACACTAAAAAATTACTCAGTAGGTAAACCCTTTGATCCACCATTTATTTATTTATATTTTTGGGCTTATAAGCCCTTGGTCTTTGTGAGACTTTTTCATCCTCTGGGATGGTTTGTTGATTTATCTCACTTTGGAGTCGCTGCATTCTATCTTTCTTGATGTTGAATAGTGTTGTACAACGAAGGTGTGATTTTTATTTATTTATCTAAAGCACAAATTCAGTGTATGCTCAAGAGAGGGTGAGAGTTGAGATTGAGGCTCGACATAAGAGAGAAAGAGAAAGAAGGCGAAGAGAGCATTCAATTGTGTTAGGGTGCATGGTAAAGGGCCAAACCCAATAGAGTAAGGCCATCTCTAACCTATGAGGCAAAATCCCAAATATCCCAAATTTTAGCCAATTTTCTCTCCTAATCCAAGAAAATTAAGGGGCTAAAATTCGGGAAAACCCAAACTTGGGGCCAAATACCAGTCCAGCTATCGCCTGGACTGGAAACTTTTTTATGGAGTCCATTGTAGCAGACGCATCCTATGTGCAAAGAAGATGTTGTAGGCCCTGGGCGTTGCTACTATGTTGCTTTATGACAGCTGTTATCTTGCCTCGTGGCAGCAACTGGTGCTGTTGCCGTTGGAATCCAACGGTAACAATTCAAAATATTTTTTAATTTTATTTTTTATAATTCCAATAATAACTCAAATCAACGATCCATATTAAATTCAAGTTATTTTAATGGTAAAGAAAATATCCAACCGCTGAAATTTAAATCCAATTGTCAAAATAATATTTTAAATTAATCTAAATCAGATCCAACTCAAAACTCACTTCAAACTCAATAAATATCAACCCATTTCTCAAATAATCTGCCAAAAATATTTTTTCTATTTCTCAATTTATTTTTCCTTTATCAATTTCATCGATCACCTTTCATTCTTGTGGAAGATGTACACAAAATCTCAAAGAGGTGTGAATTGCAGGCCCGAAGAAGATGAGGCATTGTGCAAAGGGTGGGTTTCCATAAGTGAAGATGGGGTTATTGGCACCAATCAAGTAAGCGATACATTTTGGCATCATGTATATCAAAAGTTTATGGAAAATGATCCGGGCATTAGTGGACCCGAGCAACGAACATACCAATCGATTGTTTCTCAATTCAAGACTATCAACCAATAACGTTCTCTTTGGAAGTCATGCTTGACTAAGGCCAATACGAACCCACAAAAGTGGCTCAAATCTACATGATGTGAGAAGTACCCATTCTTATTAAAGCTTTAAATTTATATTTGTAATTTTATTCAACTCCAAACTTAAATTTTTTTTTCATGTGTAGGACGTGCATGCGAAAACGATCTTTCTTAATGATAATAAGCCTCCAAATAGGTCTTTCAAGTTGTATCATGCTTGCAAAATCTTAAAAGATTGCCCAAAGTGGAACGATATAAATAAGCCTCCCACACAATGTTCTTTTGGAGCTAGTGCAGGTATGGTGAATTTAGATAACGATGCAGACGATATCACCATGCCTAGATCATGACCATCCTTGCCTAGTTCAAGGCCTGAGGGGTGAGATAAAACAAAAGGCTGCCCAAAAAAAAGGGAAGACAGCTGACCCTTCTCAACAAACAAGGGATAGGTACTTGGAATCGTTGGTTGAGTAAGACATTGCTTTTGAGGAGGATAGGAGACGAAAGCTCAATATATTGGACAAGCTTGTCCAAGATCAAGCTGATGTTTATGCGTATCAGAAGCAACAAGATAAGGGAGTCTAAGAATGAAAAATAATGTCCATAGACATGTCCAAATTTACTCCAAGAAAGAAGAAGTATTGGGGGGATAAACAAGATGAAATTATGCAAGAACAAGCACATGGTCAACAGTTTGCCGTTAATCCTGAAGACAACTTAGGGGACTATTATCCAAGCCCCCACGATGGTGGTTATTAGTTTATTCCTATTGGGTTTCATGTATTGTGAATTTGAAGTATTGTGTGTTTTCTTTTGGAATAAAATTATATTTGTGGAATTTTAATTTTTTTAGGTCAAATTGTTCAAAAAATTAAATTATGAACTTATTTAAAAAGATTATAATGAAAGAAAAGTATCCATACAAAAAAAAAAAAAAAAAAAAAAAAAAAAAAAAAAAAAAATATTAGACTTAAACTAATTAAATAATAAAGTTGTGGACTTAAAATTTGAGTCTGGAGGGTTGGGGGGAAAAATGGTTTGAGTCCGGTCTAAACCAAAATAGTTACTTTTTAGAGGGAGAAAATTTGGGTTTTACCCCAAATGGGTTGGAGAAGGCCATATGCTATCTTAAAAAAATGTACGTGTTTGTTAAAAAGTTAAATATAATAGGCCGATTTTGTTTGTTTAAACTGTTGGTTTTGAACCTTCAAACCGTAGATCAAACCTATTTAGTTTGGGTCAATTTGGTTTTCGAACCAACTTAAAGAAAATAAACCGCACCAAATTAGACTAGTCGATCTAATTTTCTCGGTTTATTATTCTAAATGCCCAAACCTAGGTAACATCATCCGATGATGTTACTATTTCACTTTATAATTTGAGTGAAGGATATGATGTATATTTCATTACTTACCCAACAAAGTGAGTGCACTTTCAGTGCCGCATTGGGGGAGGAGGCCTTAGTTCCTCCTCCTCCTCCTCCTCTCTCTCTCTCTCTCTCTCTCTCTCTCTCTCTCTCTCCTTGGTGAGAGTTCTTCCTCTGCTTAGTGAGAGTTTATGTTACATTTTTGTTTGTTTGTTTTTACTCCTTATCTCTCTGGATCTCCTTTTTCACTCCTTCACATCCCTCTGATCTTCCTCATCTCTGACTCCTTGTGTCTCCAAACGCCCCCATCTATCCATTACATCTTCCCCAAGTTCTCCTATTCCCCTTTCACTATGATTGACTTTATCTATTTTTTTCTCTTTACTCTCACCTTAAATTTCCCTAAATTATGCCCACATTTGGAAAACCCATATCTGCACTTCCACTCTCCTCTTTCTTCCCCACCCATAGATGTTGTTCTTCAATCTACACTTCTCACCTCTACATCCCTTGCCCCTTCTCTGTTATGGTGTCCTCCACACATTCTCTTCGGCTATGTCCCGACCTGAGATCTCAACCACTAGCCACTACTCCTCGGCTCCATGGATGAGGATGCTTCAAATGTACTCTTTGCACTTGCTTATAGGATTATGGTAGCGCTTTTTGCTTGGATGATTTGTCCACCACCATTCTCCGTTCAAAGCAATGGTCTGTCTGGTTATTGGTTACCCATCTTTGGAGGTTATGGATTTGCGACGGCAGTGCGACAAAGAGGAAGTGGCGGTTGTAGCTTCTTATGGTTGGGCTAAATGTTTGTTTTAGGGTTTTTCCTTTATGCGTCTTCTTTTTATTTATGTTGGGTTGAGGCCTTGTACCTATTAGTGTTGGGCTGGTTTTTATTTTTGCATTTCTAATTGTGTAATCCCTTTTATCTTAATGGAATGAATTCCCTGTACCAAAAAAAAAGCCCAAAAAAGTGAGTGCTGAGCGAAAAATTAACTCGTTTGTGGTTGTTGACACATATCCCAACAAAAATCGCCGAACAGTGCGTACGTGTCCGTGTCCTCCACACGTCTTTCCCAATTTCCAGCTCTAACTCCCGTTCTTCGAACTCTGAATTTTCCGGCCTCATTGTGTCAGGTAATTCCTCTCCTTCCAGAGCACCCCCTTCATTCTCCCTTTTCAATGCAATTTCCTCCTTATTCTTTACCTCCCACTGATTTTTAAGGTTTATGATTTCATTGATGGTAATCTTTTGCATGCCAATAATAGTAACTGCTGGGTTTAGCTCGAATTATTTTCCTCAGATTTTTACTTCGAATTTTAACTGTTCATATTTGAATGATATAGATTTTACGTTTCTTGTTATATATTCTCTTTTAAAATTTATGCTTAAGTTTTGTAGTTGAATTGGAGTTTTCTTCTTTTCTATTATAATTGGAGTCTTGTAAGCTGAAGTACAAATTTTCAATACCTCAGAGCTAGTGGAACAGTTTCATTTTGTTCTTCTGGGGTATTGTTTTAGTGATGAATGGCTTTTCAATACCCACAGCATATTCTGTTAATTCTAGTTTTTTTGCTTTTTTGTTGCATTTTTACTCCCATAATCTTTTGATTATTATTTGAGTTTAGCATATATGCCATCAATATCGGTTAAAGCATCTGAGTTTGGTATCACTCTGTTTGATTGCACCTTTTAGCTTCAAATTCAATCTAGGTTTTTCTGTGTGTTTGCTTTATAGGAACATACTTGCTTCCTGTCTTTCTAGTCCAGAGAAACTTCCTTTGACTGCTGATGTTGTGGATCTTTTTCTTTGCACAAGAAGTAATGGCTCAACACTCTTACGACAATGAATTGTTAATGGCAATTGTTTAATGTAATAGTCTTGCCATTTTCAACGTCGCATAGTCATATTTATGATTAAACTCCACAAACAACCATGAGGTTTAGCGCATTTTGAACTTGAATGTAGTTAAAGAATATAACAAAAGACTGCTTGAGGTTTGTTTTTAGTTACTGAAACACCTCTTCCATAAGTTTATCCCTAGTGAAACGCTGACAAATTCCAGTGATATCTGAAGAGAGGAGAAGCCTGTATTTTGTGATGGTTTATTTTGTAAGGATGCCCATGGCAATGACATAGGTAATGGAACATGGTGTCCCCTTGCCTATGACTTCTACTACTAACAAAGTAATCCAATTAATCATGGTGCTGGGGAAGTTAAAAGCAGCCTGAGTGTCCAGTAAGAAGTCCTAGCTCAGTAGTCATAGGCCTTCATAAGATCCACTTTGAGAGCAGTGCACACCCAGGGATCCCCCAGTCCTTGTGTAATTCGTAATTAGTTCCTGCACAATGAAGAAATTGTCTCATACTATTCTTCCAACTGCAGAGGTAGTCTGAGAGTGACTTATTAATTTAATAGAAAGTTAATGTGAGAGTGACTAATTAGCTGAGGCAGGAGCTTTCTGCTCCTATTAGCAATAATCTCAAATAGAGACATGCAGCATGCTATAGGACAAATATCACTTATCATTGGATTGGGGATTTTGGGGGCAAAAGCAATGATGGTGGAATTAGGTTCTTTCAGATGCATTTGCCTGACAAAGAATTTTTTAGCTCAGCTTTGATGAGCCTAAGTTTGTTATTGTCTCAGCAACAAAGTTTATGGCGTGCTTTCTCAGTTGTATGGTTGAAGTGGAATAGAAGGATTTTCGAGGGAAGACGCGGGTAGGAGGTGGATTTCATGTAGGATAGACTCCAATTTTGAGCATTTCTGTGGGCACAGTGTCCACTGAATTTCGAGATAAGTCATTTTCCTTTATTCTTGGTTATAGGTGGCTTTTCTTTTGTCAAGATGATTGTATCTTTTAGTTGTTCTGTATCTTAGTTGGATGATAATGTTTATATTGTATCTTCAGAGGACACCTTGTTGACCTCTGTTACTTCTGCTCATGATGGAGTACATATTGTACGAGAGAGCCCAAATTTTTTTATGTTCAATTTATGATCAGAAAAAGCTTGAATCCATTTCCCTCCTTATTCATTACTCATGTGAAAGAGGCCTCTCTCCCTTTCGATTCTGATCAATTTACGATCATAAAAGGCTTGAACCCTATATATATGTATATGCTTATAAACTTAATTTTGATAGATGACCCCTCTAGAATCATCTTCTTTGAATAGCTCAACCTCATTAAAATTGAAATTTTACTGCATCTATGGTATGTAACAGTAAGTCACTCTATTTCTATTTGAATTGGATAACCATTTTATAATTCTTCTTGTTTTGATGTGGTGGGCAATTTTTTTCATGTTTGTTTTGTCGTTGGCCTTGAAATATTTTATTTTCTTAGACAAATTTTCTGTGCATGTTACGGAATCCTAAAATAAATTATTTTATATAATTTGATTCTTCCTTGTTCTCGTTGCAGGGTTTGTTGCATTGACCAGAGGATTCAATGGATTTTCTGTTTAAAGGAATGAATGGAGATGCTTCTGAGTGCCCCTCTGCTGAGGACATGCAAAGATGTCCGTTTTTGAGGAACATAAACAAACCCACTTGTTTTTCCTTCACTCCTATAAGTCTCCCCATTCCTGTGAGTTTTCTCTCTTTGTCACCTAATGTCCTCTTTGACTCCATTGTAGTTGGTTTTTTCTCTTAATTAAGGTAATATGAAGTAAAAGGGTGTTTAAACTTTGAATTGATTGTTTTCTCAGGTGCATGGAGCAAAAGGTCCAATATTTGAGGATGCTCCGAATTTTGATATGGCTTTTAAGCTGTTTCACGGGAAGGATGGTGTTGTCCCACTATCAGGGAGATCTTATTCTCATTTGGACATTCTGGAACCCAAGCCTGAACCTCAGTTCAATCCTTTAGCAGCCAAGGCTGCCACCATAAGTCTGTCAGCATTTGGACCAGGAGGGCCTTTCAGTTTTGGTTCTTTCTCTGACAAATGGAAAAAGAATAACTCCGATTCATCTAGCAAGAAGGAAACCCCTACACAGGTAGTTTTTTTTACCATTACCAACTTTATCAATTTAATGGGAACAGAAATGATGTTGGAAGGGGAGAAAAAAGTAAAACTCTATTACGAAAGGCATTTACGGAAGGCCGTCTTGGCAAATAGGCCTCATGTCTGCTAGCATGAAACAAGTTGTGGAATTTTAAAGATTACTATGGGATTTAGAATATTCAGTTTAGGAGCTTTCCTCTCTGCAGGATGTTCGTCTTTTATTAAAGAAAGGATGACAATAACGTCTCAATATACGTATCAATGAATTATTGACATGTTCCAACACGTTATCAACACATTATTGCAAATTTGCCATTTCATAAAGGAGGGACGTCCTGCAGAGAGGAAAGAGATTTGACTTAGGGTATAAACCCATTATATAATTTGGATAATGTGTGCTTGTACGACTCGCTAAGTTGTGAACATGCTGCTTGTCTGAATCATGCTCCTTGATCGTGGTTTTGGAAAATATTATCAGATTGTTACAGAAAACCTGACTTGGCTTTTCTATTTCCAATGTCCCAGAATGGAGATTCATCAAAGCATGAGGCGCTGGGAAATGAGTGGTTAAAAACAGGTAACTGCCCAATTGCCAAGTCATATAGAGCTGTGAGCCATGTTCTACCACTTGTTGCGACAGCACTTCAGCCACCCCTTAGCATGAAACTCAGATGTCCGCCTGCAATAGTCGCTGCAAGGGCAGCCCTCGCACGGACCGCCCTTGTTAAGAACCTACGGCCTCAGCCACTACCTGCAAAAATGCTTGTCATTGCAGCCCTAGGCATGGCAGTTAATATTCCATTAGGTGTATGGAGGGAGCACACTCTGAAATTTTCGCTCTCGTGGTTTGTAGCAGTGCATGCTGCTGTTCCCTTCATAGCCATGCTCAGGAAATCAGTCGTGATGCCTAAAACTGCTATGGCATTGACAATTTCAGCTTCTATCCTAGGACAGGTTATCGGTTCTCGAGCTGAGCGAGTCCGGCTGAAAGCAGTAGCTGAGAAAGAGAGAGTAGCAGCACAGACAACAATTGAAAGCACCGTTGCTGGCTATAACCCAAGCCAGGTTGATGGCACAACAGGTGGTCACTGTGCTGCAGAAGGAATGATATTTTACCCACGAAAGAGTACTGGGCCAACTTCATCTTCAAATGTGTGCTTTTGACATCAGTGCACAAGGTGAAAGGAGATAATAAAATGAAGAAGTAATTCTCTTAGTAATATGTCTTCAACATTGTATGTGTTGTGCTGCTTGTATTATGTGAATGGTAATTCAGTGACAAAAGCATTTGACTTTTGCTAAATAAAAATCTCACTTGTTCATAAATTTGTATTCCTTCTGTCAAGAGATAACCTTCTTCAAAAGCAAGTAGAAAATCAGTAATTGCAATGATGGTCAAAAACTCAAAATAAAAAAGAGCCGCCATTAACTTCCATGCCAAGGTATAATATCATCCCAAGTATTCACTACAGGACCGCAGATTTTCTATTGCATCATCACATTCATGCATTTAGAATTCATGCGACCCAACAGCATTTTTCCACCTTGTCAGCAATATCACACAAACAACTTAAGCCAAAACAACCATACATACAATTTAGGTTTAGGAGGAAAATCATCTGTATCTTTGAAAACCCAAGTAAACTTCAAAGAATTTGGGAGCTTTTTCTGGAAGCACTAAATGTAAACAATAAAGAAATTCACTCGTCTGACTTTGAAGGAAAATATAGAAGAAAATTTTGAATTTGCTACTTCGGTCTCGACTGATATGATTCTACATAAACATTTGTAGAC